CACGGGCCCCGCCTGTCCCTTCCAGAGCCGGCACGGCGGGGGCGAGACACAGTGGCCAGTTCCTCCTACTCCCCTGTGTCACCCAGGAGGCCCGGGGCAGGGGTGGCAGCAGCCGTGACCTCGTGGCCAGTGTCTCGGGGAAGGAGTCACCCTGGGCTCTCTCGCAGCTCCTCCAGAGGTTCCCACACGGGGAGCGATGCAGAAGCCATGACCAGGCAGGACGGGCGCCGTGACGAGGACGCCTGTTGCGTGCTCCCCGACTTCCGCCAGCCTGGAGCGGGCTGCCGCTGTGCGTGTGGCCGCGTCCCAGCCCACGGCCACAGAAAGCCTGTGTTCCCTCTCCGCAGTGGCCTCTGCGGGCACAGGCGTCTGAATAGCGGCCCTGTCCTGCAGACCGCGCTCTGGGGACGCTGGAGCCAAGCAGCCCGCGCTCCGCCAGCGCCCGCCCCCCACCCCGCGCGAGCAGCGCTCTCGGACCTGCCAAGCGGCTGCGGTTCGGTGTCACGACAGCAGCACAGGGAGCCCTCGGTCTGATTCCGGGTTGATTTTAAAAATAGCAGTTGTTTCATAGTGCTGTTCACTGTTTAACTCCAGCGGTTAAATTATTAGCTGGGGGACGAGACACTTAGCGCCTCGGAGCTGCCCCGCTCACTGTGAGCTCTTGTCCCCAGTGCGGCCTCCCGCCCGCCGGGAGATGGTGTGGGAGGAGGATGTGCTCATGGGGGGAGGAGGGGACAGAGTGTAGATTGTGAACAAACGAAACTCCGGGCACCGCTGGCCTCTCCGTGGCCGCCAGGTGCTGCCCGGCCTGCCAGCTCGTCGCCGCTTCACTCACGGTGTCCGATTCGTCAGGCCTGGGCCTGGGCCCTCTGGGAGTGTCCCCGGCCTCCCTCACCGCGGTGTTTGTCGGGGTGTCCCCTGTGAGTCCTGGTCCAGGGACAAGTGCCGTAGGCGGCTCTGGGCCTCTCCAGAGCCGGGCCCGTCTGGCCCGGTCTTGGGATCGTCTCAGCCTTTTTCGGGGCGGCTGCGGCACCTGCTGGGTTCTGTTAGACAGATGGGGACGGGGCTGGTTGTTCCTGGGCTGGGGCCCGGCGGCGCGTCCTGAGACTGGGGCCCCTGGCTGGGGTCCCCGATAGGAGGTCCCTGCGACCCTCGCCCCTGAGGATGGGCTCGGGGCGCGCGGGCCTGTTGCCAGGGTCGCACGCATCCGGATCTCTCAGCCTCGTTCCCTGTGCCCTGGTGACATCACTGCACAAACCTGTCTGCCTCACAAGCCAGGGGGCTGAGTCACTCTCGGGCAGTGACTTATTGCAATTTGGGGCCTGTATTTATCTTAGCGAGAGAAAAAACAGTCCCGCCCGGACTACACTTTTCTCCCTGTGCTCCGTGCCATTCCCCAGGGCAGATGCCGGGGCCCTGCAGGCCTCGGCAAGAGGAAGGGAGACCCGCTGGCCCCCAGGCGCCCACTCTCTCCGCCACCCTTGCCGAGTGGCCCTGGCCAGGCACATGGCCCGCCGGGGACTCAGGGTACGCGGCCGGTGAGGTCCGACCAGGCGTGGGGAGACAAGGCCACCTCCTCCCGCCAGCCTGCCCCACATCTGCCCACTGCCTTGGGCGTTGCCGGGCCGCCACAGTGTGTCGGGGCCACGAGGAATCATGTGAATGATGCCACCAGGGCTGGAAGCACTGTGGGGCTCGGCATGCTCGAGTCGGCCTGAAACGCGAAGTTGCCAAGTGCAGAAGGAGCACAGGCGTCACCGACAGCGTAGCCGCTGGCAATGGCGCCTTCTTCCCCTGGCTGTCTCAGGTCAGCCGCTGCGTCTCCCTGTCCCTCGGCCAGGCAGGCCCAGACCCGACTCCACAGGCCTCCAGCTGCCACCATCCAGTGGCTGACAAATTTCCTTCTCGACCCGCATCGGCCGAGACAGTGGCCTGGGGGCCAGGACAGGGAAGGGGCCTCGTCTGTGCGGGTCCTCCCCACTCAGAAGGGCAGGCAGCTCTGCCGGGAAGTCCCACGCTGGCTTCACCCCACGTGGCCCTCAGGTTGTCTAAGGCCCCCAGTACCCTCCCAGGGGACAATGTCCCAGAGGCAGGGCTCCAGCCCTGGGGAGCAACTGGAACTTGAGCACCGAGGGCTCGTTCTTGCAGGGCTGTCCCCCACCTTCCTGAGTCCCCCGTCTGCTGCCCGCCCCGACAGCTGGCTCCCGAGGTCCTCGCTCACAGGTGGCCCAGCGCCGGGCGCCGGGCAGAAGCTCGATCTGCTCTTCCGCACTCAAGACACGCCAGGCCCCGGGAACTCCAGAAACCCCACAGCGTCTCCGAAAGGCGGTGCTGTCATTGCCCCCACCTTGCAGATGAGGAAACTGAGGCACGGAGCACTGCCACACGGGCCACAGCACACACGCCGCAGCTCCCAGGTCTCCACCCCTTGGAGGGGACGCAGATGATTTGTGCCTTGCCGGAGCACGCCCCAAAGCTGAAGCCAACACATATACAGTAAACAGCCCTCCTGAGTGTGTCGTGGGGGCTGATGCACGTTGGGGACACTGCCCACAACTACCTGGACAAGAAGCCACCAATGAATGGCTGGCATCATTTGAAGGTCATCTGCCAGGGCGATGACCCGAAGGCAGGCACGAGGGAGCCTGGCAGCCCGGGAGCCAGGGGGTCCGTGGCCTGACGGCCTCACTGCGAGGGCCGGCATGGCCAAACCAAGCAGAGGGCCCCGTCGCAGGGCAGGTGCCCGGGAAGGCACAGCTTGACACCGGCTACACCCGCTGGCTGGGCTGAGGCGGTGGGTAGGAGCCGGTTCTTTCTCTCCTTTGAGCAGGGAGCCCTGGCCGGCCTCTGTCCCTGCAGCGTGCCCGGCGCCAGGTGCCACCCCTGCACACGCGGACACAGGGGAGCAGCCAGACCCACTCCTGCCTCAGGACAGTGACGAGCTGGCGCCCGGTGTGCTGGCTGTCCCCCTGATGGTGTCAGTTTCCTCCCAAACTCTGGGGCCGGGCACCGTTCATCAGCATAAACATTTACGGGGGGCCCAGAAAGGGGATGGCCACTTGGTATGGCGCGGTCTTCACGAGACACACGGCAGAGGCAGCGCGAGCGCTCCTGTCTGCCTGGCCCTCGGAGGCGGCCCCGCCCGGGCGGTGACAGCAGATCAGGGCAGAGGGACCCGCCTGTGCGCAATACGTCAGTCGTCTGAAAGCATCTCGAGTATTTGGGAACCGCTCTCAAACCACAAACTCAGGGTACGTTCCCAAACTCCTCTCTGTATCCTGTCCGGGGAACTTTAAAAAAATACACCAACTCCTGAGTCTCTCATCCGGACCCAATCACTCCTGGAGGCTGCCACGTTTGAAAAGCCCCAGGTGATTCTAACACCTGCCCCACCCAGCACCGCAGCCACTGATCCCTGCAGACGGGTGAGTCTAAACTCAGATGAGCTGGGAGTGTCCCACACACGCCGCATTCCCAAGACTTAGGAGAAAAAGAATGTAAAATATCCCCATCATAATTTTTGCAGTGATTACGCGTTGAAAGGGTTGCATTTTGGATGCACCAGGTTAAGCACAAAATATGCAATTGCAACTAACGTCACCTGTTTCCGCTGACTTTTCTAGTGGCTGCCAGAGGCTCTACCGTGACAGCTGCGGCCCGTCTCCTGTCCCCGCCCCAGCGCTGTTCTACCTCGCAGCTGGAGGGCCGAGTGTCAATGCCTGTTAATCTTTACAGGAGTTTGGTTCCACAGGGACTGCTGAGGGGACAGGTCACGGACCTGGAAAGTCGGACCTGTGAACTGCCCTGCACGCTGACCCCTCCGCAGTCCCCGCCTGGGGGGGGGGGCGGCGGCACCTGGGCGGCTTTCTGTACTGTGGGGGGGGCTCGCCCGCCTGGGGGGGGGGGCGGCGGCACCTGGGCGGCTTTCTGTCTGCAGGTGACGCCCACCCACGGGCGGGCGGGGCTCGGTCGACTCCTGCAGTAGCATAAACGGTTTCTCTCATCCTAACCTGAGGGGAAACTTCTGGGTTCTGTCGCCATATCCTGCAGGGGAAACTGAGGCCCAGGGAAGGAAGCACAGGGGCTCACGGAAAGGGAAAACGTAGGCCGGGCAACTGGCATTTCCAAAACTGCAACCTGCTGAGCCCTCGTCCGTGACATGCTTCGAAGGTGGCCTTCTTCCCTGGGGGAAGCTCTGAGAGGCTGCTCAGACTCTAGAACTGTTTAGCGGGGTGGGAAGGGAGAGAGACAGTTAGCTGACTATTCGCTGAGCCCCTACTGTGTGCCGGCACCGTGCGACTTGCTTTACCCACCGTATGAATTAGTTCCCCGGGGCTGCTGTAGCAGAGCACTATAAACTCAGTGGCTTCAAACAACACAAACTCTAGCCACATGCCTTTGGTACAAAAAAAAAACAAAAAAAAAAAACACAAACTCATCCCTCCTCACAGTTCTGGAGGTCAGAGGTCCGAAATGGGTCTTACGGAGCTAAAAATCAAGGTGTCGCAAAGGCTGAATCTCTTCCCGGAGGCTGCAGGGGAGAATTCCCAGGTGGCAGGGGACACCCACGCTCCCCTGGCCAGTGGCTCCTCGCTGCGTCTTTGCGGCCAGCAGTGGTCTGTGGAGACCTTCCCACATTCCGTCACTCTGACCTCTCCGGCCTCCCAAGTCCACATTTAAAGACTCTCGTGATGACACAGGGCCCACCTGGTAACCCGGGATAATCGCCCCAGCTCAAGGCCGCGGAGGGGCAACCTGCCCGCCACGCCCCTTACCAAGTAAGATCACATTCACAGTTCCGGGGACCACCCCGGGGACACCTTGGCAGGACCACTCCGCAGCCAACCTCGTGGCATCACACCTCGGAACAGCCCTATTCGGTGGTTGGAATCATCCCTATTTTTACAGACAAGGAAAGATTTAGGAGGTGGGCAACTCACCCAGGGGCACAGGTAGAACTCAGGGCCACCTGCGTACAGGTGCATCCCATGATATCACACCGTCTTTTTAAAGGTACAATTTTCAGCCTCAGATCGCAGCATACTATATTCTATAGTTTCCTCTATTCAGAATACAACCGCAACAACAAACCGCTAACATTTTGTCACGTCCAGTCTGAAAAGGGCTTTTTTTTTTTTTAAATCCCCAAAGGGGCTAAAGCATTGGGGAAGAAAAGAATACACTAGTTTCCTAGACTCTACCCTGGGATTACACGAGGGCTGTCCAGAAAGCATCCAGCCACTGTGAATATACGAAGAACAGGTCCATGGCTGGGTACTTTCTAGACAGCCACCGTGCACACACTCACCATGAAACAGCCACCGGAGGGAACCGTGGCTGCCCTCCCTTAGCACCCCTGATTGCTAACCTGGGAGACCTTCGCAAAGGGGTGTCCTATCCAGAAAGCTCCCCAGGGAGGCCTTTCTCTTCCTCCTGGCCCAGGAGCCTGGGAGCGGAAAGTCGAGGCTGGGCCCCTGGATTGAATGTGCTATTTTCTGTCCCGAGACGTGCAAACAGCAACCTCAGCTCTCCAGGTCCTTTCTACCACGGGGCCTGGCTGGCAGCTCACGGGATATTTCTGGGAACGATCTAATTAAATATTAACCACGCACTAAAGCCCATTCTTACATCCCTCGGTAAGTCGCTGTGAAGACAACTGAACCCAAACTTCCATCTTTCCAGAAAAAGGGACCCTGGAACGGGTTAGTCCTATGAGATCTGCCCATTACACAGTTACCCATTACCCATTCCAAAGCACGCCTCTCGGCCCCTGAGAAAAAAACCCAAAAAGCAAAACGAAACAATCCACCTTCTTGTGTACCAAACCAACCACCAGAATGTGTGCTCCCCGATCAAAGATGCTCTCTGACAGACAGGAAGGTTGTCCTTGACTTCTTATCATTTAAGATTAACATCAATGAACTTGGCCCTTTAAATTCTATCTCCTCTGTGTAGCAATCAGACCTCTTTTACCTACACCTCCTCAAAGGCACGGGAAAAATCTAAAAATCAGGGAATGAACAAAGTTTTTGACAACACCCCGATTCTCTCTGTCCATTAAGGTTTTCTCCCTGTACTTCTGCAAGTTTCTGGCACAATTATGTATTAATGACTCTCAGTTAAATGCCACACTTGTTTTTCTGACGGGCTATCCAGGCTGAACCAGAGGATGACGATGACAAGGATCACAAGGATAAATTGACGATTTGCAGCCAGCCTGGTTCCAGCACTTGGCATTCACGAAGCCTTGGTGTTTTGAGGTTTTATTATCCCTTTCGTTGTCAATCACAAACACGAGGGTGAGAAGGTCTCCCTGCCTGTCCTCTCATTTCAAAATGCAATCTCTCGTAGATTGCATGTGCTAACTTGATTTGAAAGCAACCGCAGAAGTCCCTGCAAGGACAAGCCGGCAGGAACTTGCTAATGCCAGCCCCAAATGCAAATGTCACCAACCTGCTTCAGACAAGGGTGGAAGGGGGTCCTCTGACTTCCTTTATTTCTAAAGTAAAATTTTTCAGCCATTTCAGTCTCGGTTGACCTATTTTGGCAAATAAACAGGTATGTCCCCCACCCCTGCCCGTCCCCCAGGCGTAAGAGCACCTCCGAGTTTGTAAAATAAAAAGGAACAGGAAACCAGAAACACAGCAAGGCCTCCACGGCGCGCCCTGGCACAAACACATGCACAAATGCACACCCGCGCCATTATTTAATTCTTAAAGCCACCTTCCCAGGATCGCAGCATCTGGAGAGACGCGGGCGCGTGGGAGGCGCAGGGAGGGAGCCCCAGGAAGTTTCTGTCTGCCAGGCGCCGCTGTTTAATGAGGGGGTGTGAACCTATTTATACGTGGGCCAGCGCTCGGGCGAACGAGTCTGGCGACATACGTGAAACTTTTCACCCGGCAGATAATGAGGCATTGTGCGGCCCTGGAAAACAGCTGCCGAGAAAAGGAAGCAGGGAGTTTCCCTTAAGGAAACGCGCCGCTCCCCCGGGCGGGCGTGCGCCCAGGCGGGGAGACGGTGGCAGCCGCCGGCCGGGCGCGGGGACCCGAGCGGGCCGCGCGGCACCTGGGCCGGCCACCTGGACTGCCGGGCCCCCGCGGGCCCCCGCCGGCACCTGCGCCCGGCACACGCCGGCAGCCCGCGAGACCCCGCCGCCGCGTTTCCCGGCACCGGGCCGGCTCGCCTGCTGCGCCCATCCCAGCGGCCCCGCTGTGTGTGCTGTGCCCGGCGCCGGGAGCGCGGCTTCCGTTCACCTCGTGCGCCGCGCTCGGGCCGCGAGGCGCCGGCGGGGCGGCGGGGCCCGAGGGCGCGGGTGGCGCAGGCCTGACCCCCGCGCCGACCGCCCGGGCCCCAATCGCCTCCGCAGCCACTCCCGGCCGGCGGGACGCGCGAGGACCGAGCGGCCCAGGGCCCCGCGCGCCGCCGCTCGCCTGGGTTTGCGAACTGCTCGCCCCCCTCGGCCCTCCAGGCTGTTGGCCCCGGGCTGCCGGGACTCAGCCGCGGCGGCACGGTGTCTTGGGATGCTTGTTCATCCTGCCGCCCCGGGCCGCTCGCGCACCCATGCGCGCCGCGCGCCCGATTCCAGGGCGCCGCCGAGGACGCCGCCGCAGCCCCGAGGAACCCCGCCCGGCCCCGCCGCCCGCCCGGCCGCGCCCCGCTCCCGCCCCGCCCCGTCCTGGCCGACGCCCCTCACCCTGCGCCCTCCGCCCACCCCCACCGGGCTCCCGCCCCGCCCCCCCCCTCCCAGGACACCCACACAACGCCCCGCAGGCCAGACACAACACACAAGAATCCTACTCCCCCTCCCTCACTCCGGACACCACCCTGCCTGCACCCTGCACGACCCCACGACTCCCGCACAAGCTCACCCCCTGCACCCTCCAACCGCCGCAGCGACTCCTGGACACGCCCGCCCCCTGCACGCCCTCCACCCCACCCACGGACCTTCGCCCCCGAACCTCCCAGGAGGGCCACAAATTGCCACACAACCCCCACCCTTCCCAGCCCCGCCCCAGACGTCCCTCGACACCCTGGGAACCATGCACACCGGAACACACGACTCTGCACCAGCCCCCCTTGCCCTCAACCCCCAGAAAACTTCCTGGACACGGCCCGCCGGCCCTGCACCTCCAATTCCCAGCACTAACCACCGCCCCCTGCACCCTGCCACCCCACCAGGCTCCGGCGCCTGCTCTCCCCACAGACACCCACAAACGCCCCCCTCCCGCCACCACCCACCACCCCCCCCACGGCCCAGACACGCCGGCTCCTCCCCCTGACACCACCCCACGATCCCTGGACCTCCTGCACCCCTGTCCTCGCCCCCAACGAGGCAACCGCCCCCCCCAAGTCACAGGGGCGCGCCCCCGTCTCACCCCCGCCCCAACCGCCGTAGCCAAGCGGAAGAAAGAGAACCCCCTGCTTACGCTTCCTCGGGGTGGGGTTCACGCGCGCAGTGCGCCCTCCTCCCCGGCGGCTCAGACCCCTAGGACTTGTCGTACACCGGCCAAGGTTCTTTCAGCGGTTTTTTTTCATTTGAAGAAAAAATTTGGCTCCGGGAGTCTGGTCATGATGGCAGGCGAATAGAGTTAGTTTTTCCCGCTTTCTGGTTTGTCCAATTTACGTGTTTTTTTTCTCAAAGCACCCATGTGAGGCTCCCTTTTTGTGCATTCTTAACGAACTGCAGCTGCGGACTACGGGGCGCGCTGATGTTACAGGCTTAGTGGTCTCGGACGCGCTCGCGCAGGGCCAGGACAGAAGGGGCCGAGACAGGAACGTCGCGGGGCTGGGGGCGCAGCGGGGCCGCGCACGAGAGGGCCCTTGATCGCGAACCAACCCGGGCTTGGCCCAGCCAAGGACGGCGTGGAGATGCCCCAGGAGCGGGCGGTGGAGACTTTTAAAAATCATTATTATTATTGGCTTCCTTTTTAAATTATTGGTCACAAGGCTGGAGTAAAAAAATTAATGAAAACCCAAAGTCTTCCCCAAGGGTAGCTGTGCTTAGCTTTCCTATGGGAAGGCAGAGGCGACATCGGGCACAAACAGCCCTGGGGCTCCTCTGGCTCTTCGAGGGGAGGCAGAAGGAGTATGATGCCACCCAAACCTGAAGCTGCCCCCTGGCTAGCCAGTAAGCTCCCCACCCTTCACCCTCTAGCCAAGAGCTGACGCCGAGAGCATGTATGTCCGCCAAGGCTCTCCTCTCACTCCACTAAAAAGAGAAATCAATCATGCTTAATCCAATTCCAATCTCTGAAAAGCTTCTTTGCCAGAATAACAATAGAATGACAACAATAGCTAATATTTCCAGTGCTTAGTATTTGCCAGGCACTAGGCTACACCCCTTCCCCGCATGCCTCTTATAATCCTCTGCAACTTAGTCGAGAACTGTGGTGTGATACAGCCACCATCGAGGGACACCAGCCATTTCTCAGACTCCTTTTTCCACACGGAACAAAGGCGGTTACCCTGTGACCTCGACATGGGCGGCATCCTCTTGTAAACCGGGCAGCACTCTCTGGGATGGAACAGCTGCCGGGGCGACTTCACAGTAGCAACCAGCTACTGCTCTTTAAAATAATAATCTTAACTCCTGTGCCTGGTGCCACGGCGCCTGGCATTTGTTAAACAGCATCTCATTTAATCTTCTTTAAAGTCGTTGGCGGTGTTTGTACAGACAGACAGGCTCATAGAGTTCAGCCTGTGTTCACAACTGGGAAGCCGTGTATTCAGGATCCGGACTCCCATTTGTATGCCGGGGGTGGCCGGTGACTTTTGCTGCTGTACCGCCTTGGCTTTGCTCTGGGATCCCAGAGCACTTTGCTAACATATGTCCAATGAGTTGTAATTTATCTGCTTATAGGTAAGACTGTGAGCTACCAGAGGCCAGGGAACACCCTGCCTTACTCAGTTTCCTACCTCAGCGCTTGGCCGGGTGCCTGGCGCACAGCAATGATCAATACATGTGTGTGACATGAGGGCTGAAAGAGTAAACGAGCACCCCCATAATTTGGATGCACGGGTTATTTTAAGAAAGAGCGTTCCCAGGGACACAAGGATGCTAACTTTGCCACTCCTCGCTGCTACGGTTCATCTCTGGAGACATCTCCAGGCAGGTCTAGTGCTGCCTGGTCCAGTACTGAGACTCTCCGCGTCACTAGATTCAGGGTGCCACGTTGGGATATCCTGAGGGCTGTTTCATCCTCCTTCCCAGGGTATCACAAAGGCAAAGCATTTGGGATACAAATTGGACCTCATCTCAAGGCAAATCCAAGACAAACAGTAGAGGTTACGCCACTTGGGCGCACTGAAATGCTGTGTGCTGCAATATCCACACTGCCTCGTTGACACGCATGCATGACTTGTCCCCAGCCTCTCTGTCTGGCTTCATGTTGCACCATCCCGGCCCATCAGGTCTGCAAATGCGTCCTGTCATGCTTCTCCCCCACCTCAGGGCCTTTGCACATGCTGTTACTATTGTCTGGAATTCGCTTCCTCTTCCTGTTGGCCTAGTTTGCATCTACTCATCTTTCAGCTCTTGGTTCAGATGTCACTTCTTCAGGGAAGCATTTGTCCCTGTTACATGCTGTTACAGTATCTCAGCGCTTTATTTCATAGCACTTACCGGTCTTCCATGTGATTATTTGACTAAAGTCTGTCTCCACCACTAGGTTGGAAGCAAATGTTAAGTCTGCTTTGCTTACTGTTGTGCCACCAGCGGCCAGCAAAACACCTATTGGGTGCTCACATTTTGTTCTTTTTGTGTTGGATTTCGTAAGCATGTATTTGGCTGAGAATCCAGAAGTCCTTTTCAAGACGGATGAATGTGCATTCCTCACTTGATACACTCCTCAGAGACCATTCTGGTTTTTAACCTCCCTTGTCAGCTGCAGGCTTGATTAATGTGTCTGGCTTCTGATTTTGATCTCATTCACTCTGTTCTCTATCACATAGGAGGTTGCTATGATTTGCTAACAAAATCGTCATCAAATGGTTCGAGAAGGCTGGGCACGGTGGCTCATGCCTGTAACCCTAGAACTTTGGGAGCCAAGGTGGGAGGATCGCTCGAGCCCAGGAGTGTGAGGTTTCAATGAGCCATGATGATGCCACTGCATTCCAGCCTGGGCGACAGAGTGAGACTCTGTCTTTAAAAAAAAAAAAGGCTCAAGGGAAACACAGGTGCACTATGCAAAACGCCACCCTAACTACAGGTGTGGAACCACAGAAGGGGAGTCTCAACACAAAGCCACAAACTCTGGGGTCATTAGCCAGAGGACGAGGTTTCATTTCTCAGCCACCTTCTGGAAATGTGTAGAGCCAGCCTATAGCAGCCTCTCAATTCTATGCATTCGATTGACGCTTTTGGGGTAAAACTGTTTTTAGTGTTTATGGATTATCTTGATGCAGAATTTCTTTCTTTTGAGGGGTATTTCTATTTCTGTTTTTTAAAAAAAAATCTGTTCACTAATTCTAAAAATACTCTTCTATCAGTCTTTTCCAATGACTGAGATCATTTCTGGCAGGCAAATTATAGTGTAATTCTAAGATGGCATGTTCATCTTAAGAATGTTGATGATAAAATATAAATGCCAAAAATCTAGTTTTAACTTGCAACTATTTCAAACATACTATGAGACTACTTCTTGCATCCAGTAAAGTACAGAAGGAAAAAGAAGAAAAAACAGACCGCTTCTCTTTAACATACATTGATCACACATTTAAATAACTTAGGTTGAGATAGGTAATTTGCTAATATTAGAATTCCCCATTCTTGAATTACATGTGGAATAATACACAACAATGTAGTGGGATAAGAATAGGTATCATAAGCCTATGAGCTACATTTAGCCATAAAATAGTTTTTAATTATTTTCAAATCCTTGAGTTCCCTGAAATTTTCCTACTTAGCATCTAGCAAGTGTTCCCTTTTCGCGAGGCAAGTTGAAATGTAGCCATGGACCTATCATAAAGAGAGGGAGAAAATTGAACATTTTGATTCTCAGACTGGAAGTCAGTCTCTCCGGGGACATTTTAGGTTTCCTAGTTGGCAGGCGGTGGTTCAGAATCAACTATACCTTTTTCAGTTTTGCTCTGTACAAGCCAGCCCGAGGGAGAAAGCATGCATTGATAAAGAACATAAGCAAACCTCACCCATGCCTCTTTTCAGCACCCTAATTAAAAAGGCTAAATGGGGTAGCTCTTCCCCTCTCATGAAAATCATCTCTGAAGTAACACTGAAACCTTCTAACAAAGGGACATTTATTCAGCACAATAGAACTTTGATATCTGCAATGCTTAAAAAAAAAAATGCATTCCCATTCCTGAGGACATTAACTTGCCAGGTTCAGTTTAAAGCAACTAACCTTCCTTATTTTACTCCTGTGTCGTGACAAGAAACCAAAGAAACATTTTCTTTATTATTAAAAATATTTTTTATTGGCTGAAGCTGATCGATTCTCTTAGAAGGGGCACAGAGGCACACAGTACTATATTCTTTAAAAAAAATTACAAGTTAAAACAGAAGTATTTTATTCTTTAATGATAAAATAAAATGCATATAAAACTTGATCTTCCAGCAAGCTTTGTATAAGTAGATGGGACTTCTATAGACCCAGACAAGATGGGGCTCTGCTCAGCTTGAGACAAAAGGACCTCGATTGTCAATTTAAGGAGATATTTTCCAGTTAAAAATATTTTATATCATATCATTTTATGTCTATTTACACAGAAAAGTCCAGACCTAAAACCGTAAGAGAATACTGTTATATTTTGAGCTGACTCTGATAAGCTATTGGTTATAATTTAAATGTATACTCAGATTTTTTTTTTTTTTTAAATCAGATAGTTAAAACAGCATTTCATAGGCAGGGGTTCTCTATTCGATGTTCACACCTTAAAAGAGCTTCTCTAGTGTTTAACTACAGTCTGTATCTTTGAAGAGAAGTCTTTGTCTTTCTTAGCATAATTCCAAGTTTGTGTATATATATACGATAAGGTCTAATTTCTTACACGTGAAAATATTTCTTGCACACAAAAATGGTTAATTTGAAAAAAAATATATAGATGTTTAAAAAAATTAACGTTCAGGTCCTGCTCCCCTTGGGTGTTGAACGTCGTCGCTTAGGGAGAATTACAATCCTCTTTTTGTTTTAGGGCTAAGTGTTTGGTATTGCTGTCTGCTTTCTGCCTTCTGCATAGATGAGAAATCTGCTTCTGGAGGAAGGAAAACAACAGAGTGGATAAAATAAAAATCAATTAGCATTGGACAGTGCACTATAAGCTCCCAGTGTCTGAGATATTAACTATGCATCCTGATTTTCATCAACAGCAGGTCATGCAAAAATATTACAGATATGATGACTCAGCAGAGAGAGGCGGAGAGAAGAGACAGGGAGGGGGGAGGGGAGGCTTTGCTGCTACCCCAGTGTCTTCCAAATGCCCTGTGCTTACCTTGGAACCCTCTGAAATGACCGTACCCTTTACCTTATCAAACTGGATTCCGGGAAGGCTTTGCATATGAAATGAAGGTTTGACAGATGGAAACGTAAGTCAAGAAAGTGCTTACTGGGTCAATAAACTTTTCTATAAAACTTAGAAGGAAGTCAAGACTTCCTTTCCTGCCAGATACCCAGGTGAAATGCTGAAAGGTGCATTTAGATCCTGATTGTTAAAGCCCTGTCTTTGTACTCACTTCCTCAGATTCAAAACTCTAGGTATTGAGAACGAGAACTTTTGGATCTGCATTTCCACCTGCAGTTGACATTGTGCTCTGATTAAATTTAGAAGGCATGTGTAAATAGGTCAGGCAAAAGAGAAAGTATTACAGGTCAAACAAATGCGTGAGTGGCCTTGACTCTGCGTTATCAATGTCCCCGAGTTACATGTTAAATATCAATGGAGACATAAGGTGAGATAAGCAAAGGTGACTTACCCAGCATCACAGTGAATGCTGAGGTTGACTTTTGTTTTCTTCAATAACTGCCAGTGGTATTGTTTTGAGGTGACTCTTCTGAGACCTCTGAGTTCTAGAAAACAACTCTCAAATTAGTACCTGGAATAGAGACACTAGAAAATACTTAAGATTATACACAAATAGAGCAGAAATGGCTTTAAAAGACCTCAGGCAAAGAGATAGCTGCATTCCTATGTTCACTGCAGCCTTACACAGCCAAGATGCGGAAGCAACTTAAATGCCCTGCAACAGATGAGTGGATAAAGAAAATGTGGGCCAGGAGTAGTGGCTCACACCTGTAATCCTAGCACTCTGGGAGGCCGAGGCAGGTGGATCCTTTGAGCTCAGGAATTCGAGACCAGCCTGAGCAAGAGTGAGATCCCGTCCCTACTAAAAAAAAAAAAAAAAAAATAGAAATTTTAGCTGGACAACTAAAAATACACATATAGAAAAAATTAGCTGGGCATGGTGGTGCATGACTGTAGTCCCAGCACTCGGAAGGCTGAGCAGGCAGGAGCTTGACAGGATGCCAGGAGTTTGAGCCCAGGAGTTTGACTAGGCTGACGCCACGGCACTCTAGCTCAGGCAACAGAATGAGACTCTGTCTCAAAAAGAAAAAAGAAAAGAAAAGAAAGTGCTGTGTATATGCAGAGTGGAACGCTCTTTAGCCACAAAAACGATTGAAATTCTGTCACTTGCAATGACGAGGATGAACCTGAAGGACACTGTGCCAAGTGAACTAAGCCAGGCACGGAAGGACAAATCCTGCACAATCTCACTTACGTGTGGAATCTAAAAGGCTGAAGTCACAGACACAGAGGGTGGAACGGTGGCCACACGGGGCTGCGGGGGGGTGGATGGGAATGGGAGTTGACAGTCAAAGGGGACGTTTCAGTTTCTCAGGAGGAACGTGTTTTACTGGTCTACTGCACAGCATGGTGACTTACAGTTAATAATGTTTTGTATGTTTCAAAATTGCTAAAAGGGTGGACTCTGAATCTTTTTTTTTTTTTTTTTTTTGAGACAGAGTCTCGCTTTGTTGCTCAGGCTAGAGTGAGTGCCGTGGCATCAGCCTAGCTCACAGCAACCTCAAACTAACTCCTGGGCTCAAGCAATCCTCCTGCCTCAGCCTCCCGAGTAGCTGAGACTACAGGCATGGACCACCATGCCCGGCTAATTTTTTCTATATATATTAGTTGGCCAATTAATTTGTTTCTATTTATAGTAGAGATGGGGTCTCACTCTTGCTCAGGGTGGTTTCGAACTCCTGACCTTGAGCAATCCGGCCACCTCGGCCTCTCAGAGTGCTAGGATTACAGGCGTGAGCCACTGCGCCCGGCCTCTGAATCTTTTTACCACAAAGAAATAAGTATGTGAGATGATAGATATATTAATTGGCTTGACTTAATTATTCTACAATGTTATACGCATTACATTGTACTCTATAAACATATATAATTATTATTCAATTATTGTCCATTTTTAAAAAACCCCTAAGGGAATTAACAAAATACATTAAAGTGATTCCATCAACTACCATCCATGTATGGCACAAAGATTTCTTTTCCTTTTTTTTTCCCCAGAGACAGGGTCTTCTTCTTCTCCTTTTTTTTTTTTTTTCCAAGGCAGAGTTTTGATCTGTCACCCTGCATAGAGTGCAGTGGGGTCAACAACCCCAAAGTCCTGGGCTCTTGCCTCAGCCTCCCAAGTTGCTGGGACTACAGGTGCATGCTACCACACCTGGCTAATTTTTCTATTTTTAGTAGAGACAGGGTCTTTCTCTTGCTTAGGCTGATCTTGAACTCCCGAGCTCAGATCTTCCTGCCTTGGCCTCCCAGAGTGCTAGGACTATAGGTGTGAGCCACCTCGCCAAGCCAAGAGACAGGGTCTTGCTCTGTCGCCCAGGCTGGAGTGCAGTGGTGCAATCATAGCTCACTGTAGCCTCGAGCCCCTGGCCTCAAGTGATCCTCTCGCCTCAGCCTCCCAGAGTGCTGGCATCACTGAGCTCAGCCAACATTTCTTGATTTCCTATTCATGTGTGGGGTTCCCTTGTCTCTGATCTCCTGGTAGGGCTGTTCTGTTTGCTTGATTTTATGTGTTAGGGCCAAACTCTGGCAGCCAGCTAATGCCCACATACAGCTGGCTCAGCCTCAGCCTCAAGACTGCGCGGTGAGCCCTTAATGAAGGCAATGGTCAGGAACAAGAATCAACCACTCTAAGTGCCTGCTGGGTGCCTGGTTAGCTTTGGTGGGTGTTTTGGTGGGGGATGGGGGAAGGAGAGGAGGGGAGAGGAGAAGGAAGGGGAGGATGACACCTGGAAAGACCACAGTACTTGCGTGTGGTTAGCAGGCAGGCTGACTCCTCAGCCTCCCCCTCCTCCCCGTGGGGCCTGTATTCCAGTCACCAGGGACCATGCACAGCTACTCAGGGCACCCAGGAAGCTTCCAGACCCCTGTGTTTTCACTCATGCTGCTCCTCTCCACTCACCTGCCTGCCTCTGTGTTTTACAACCCAGTGTATTTTATCTCAGCCCTTTACAAACGTCATTCTAAAAGGGATCCACAAAAGAGGGTAAGAACCAATTGGAATGCCCCATCCCGAGTACTGGCCACGACTCCAAGTCCAGTTTAAGGCCGAGTCCACGCCCCATTCCCACCCTTGAGGCCAGGAGGAAGCCTCGTGGGCGAGGTGATGCGCTGCATTTGACTCTTCCCTTATTCCTCCTTTCCCTACTTTCCAATTATTGTTTTTTTGTGTGTGTGTGTGTGTGGGGAATCATCTGCAAATCACAATCACATACACAGGTATAAATCGGAGAAGTCGTGCGCCTCCTGCTGGTAACGATTCACATCACCCTTCCACTGTGTCCTTGTGGCGCAAGTGTTGATTCTTATTCCCGTTCCGGCTCTTACTAAACAGGCACAGGGCATAGGAACGTCCCAGTGTCTGCATGTTTCCACTCAACAATGCATCTGGAATATTTCCACAGCCCAGAGCCTCTTGATCCGTCTGTGGCTGGGACGGACTCCGTCGTGGGGACGGACGGGGCTTGCTCACCCAGCTCCCCTGTGCTGGGCGCTCGGATCGACTCCCATCTCTAGCTGCTGTAACGAAGCAACGCTGCAAATGCAAGCCTTGCGCGGTGCCGCTTCGTACGCGTGCGTGCGGACATGTCTCCAGGAGAGATGCCCAAAGCGACACTGCTGCGTCAGTCGGTTCCGGGCGATTTTGAGAAAACACTGCCGGTTTCCCGCCAGGAGGACCGAATCCCTGTGAGCTCCCCAGCGAGGCAGCGGAGCGCCCGCTCCACAGAGTCTCTGAATTACCGTCCTCGTCTTTGGCGACAGATGGCAAGGCCCTGGCAAGGCAGACAGGCTGCTCAGAACTCCACGCTGCTTCCTCGTCACAGAAGTTAAGGATTTTCCACAAAGACTGTGTGCTTTTGCTGCGTCTAGCCGCACTCAGTGCGAAGGCACGAGGGGGATCTGTGAGTGTGTAAAGCGCGTCGCCGTCGCCGAGTGGGTGTGTTGATGGCGAGCCCATCGGTCCGCTGGGAAGTACACCCCATCTGGAGCCAGTAGTTTTCCAATTAAACGATTTTCCAATTAAATGATTTTCTGACTCTAGCTGTGCGATGCTGAGCAAGAGAGTCAGTCATTTTCCCTCACTTGTGACATGAAAGGCTCTTCTGGTTCTTTCTAGCTCAAGAACTCTCTTAAGCCAAGTCTCTGCTGACCTCAAACAGCTTTCCCCCTTTTTTTTGGGCGACACCTGAGCTCACAGTTGAGCCTTTTCTTTCCTGCACTTTTCTTACCAGTTCCAGTCAAGGTGGGACCCAAGCACTCCGTGTCTCCTGTCTCGGGGGCTGTGTGTGCCACCGCCAGGGTGCCGCGGTGACCAGGGCTCCTAAAGCCCCCACGGTGCGGTGGGAAGACGCGTCACCAGAGACTGGGGCCCGGGATGCGCGCGCTGATGGAGACAGAGTCACACACACACCAGCCACGTATGAGGACAGAAACGAAGGCTGCAGTGAGCTACGCTGACTCTAGCCCGGGAAACAGAGGCAGAGCCCGTCTTGAAAAAATAAATAAATAAATAAAATAAACATCTTCCTCTGCCTCAGTGTAAATGAACTTCTTCACTAATGCTTCAGAGAGAATCTGTCAAGAAGAAATCTTCCCAGAAAACACCAAAGTCCATCACAGTTTCCAGTTTGAAAAGCTTATATGACCCACGTAGGTACACATGGTATACTCTGAAAAACTGCTATTTTGGGAGCCTATGACTTTATTTTATTATTTTATTTTATTTATTTTTTTTTTTTTGAGACAGAGTCTCGCTTTGTTGCACAGGCTAGAGTGAGTGAGTGCTGTAGCATCAGCCTAGATCACAGCAACCTCAAACTCCTGGGCTCAAGAAATCCTCCTGCCTCAGCTCCCGAGTAGCTGGGACTACAGGCATGCGCCACCCATGCCCGGTAATTTTTTTCTTAAAATTAGTTGCCAATTAATTTCTTCTATATTTATAGTAGAGACGGGGTCTCACTCTTGCTCAGGCTGGTTTCGAACTCCTGACTTCGAGCAATCCGCCCGCCTCGGCCTCCCAGAGTGCTAGGATTACAGACGTGAGCCACCGCGCCCAGCCTATTTTATTATTTTTTAAAGAGACAGGGTCTCAATCACTCTGCGGCCCAGGCTGGAGTACAATGGCGTGATCACAGCTCACTGCAGCTGTGAACTCCTGGGCTCGAGTGATCCTCCTGCCTCGGCCTCCCCAATGGCTGGGACTACAGATAAGCACCACCACGCCTGGCTATGTTTTTTTTTTTTTTTTAAGAGATGGAGTCTTACTTTGTTGCCCAGGCTGACTCCTGCCTTGGTCTCCCAAAGTGCTGGGATTACAGGCATGAGCCACTGCGCCCCGCCATGGAGACCATTCTTTCAGGTAATATTTGCAACTACCTATTAAGGCTCATGGCAATGACTGATTGCTCGAGAACACTGATTCTGAAATGGTTAATGTTCTAGTTTTGGGTCATCTGTGTCACATGGAAAGTTGCTCCATGGAACTCCGAATCTAACGAAATATCAGTATGAAAACCCAAGCAAGAAATGTCACCATGGAACGAGGCCTGAGGATATCAGCTCTCACTATTCTCACTCAACACTGATCTGGACGTCCCAGCCAGAACAATATGGGAAGAAAAAGAAATAAAACTGTCTTTACCTACAAATGACACGACTGTATAAAAAATCCTAAGGAAGTTACAGAAAATCTACTAGAATAGGTGAATTCTGCAAAATTGCAATTTACAAAAACCAGCTACAGTTATTTGTACCCATAGACAATTTTAGAATGAAATTTAAAATATCATGTATAACGGCATCGAGAGAATACAGGTGAGTATCCCTAATGCAAAAATCTGAAATCCACAATGTTTCATAATCTGAAACTTTTTGAGTACCAACGTGATGCTAAATAAGGAAATGCATGGGAACGTTTTAGATTTCGGATTTTCAGATTTGGGAAGCTCAACTGGTAAGTATACAAATGCAAATATTAAAAAATCTGAAATCCAAACACTTCTGGTTCCAAGCATTTCAGATATGGGATACTCAACCTGTATTAAGGATACATTTAAGAAGAGATGTGCAAGATCTCTACAATAAAAATTACAAAATATGGTTAGGAGAAGTGAAGAGAGACCTAAACAAATGGAGATGCACTCTGCTCATGGTTGCCAATCCTTCCTAAAGTGATCTGTAGATTCAAGGAAACCACAATACTAAAACGCATTTTTGTAAAAATTGACAAGTTGATTCTAAAATTGATATGGTCTGTAAAGGACCTAGAATAGTCAAAGCAATTTTGAAAAAGAAGAACAAAGTGGAGAACTTGTACTTGATTTTGAGACTTTTTATAGAGTTATAGTAATCAATATAGTGTGCTACTGGTGTAAGGAGAGACAGACAGATCAATGGAATGACCAGCGAGTCCAGAAATAGATACTTCCTTGTGAGGTCAACCAATAGTCAGCAAAAGCGCCAGAACTAATTTAATGGTGAAAGAATAATCTTTTCAACAAATCGTGTTGGGACTAAATATGTGTAGAGGAAAAAAAATGAACCTTGATCCTTATTTCACACTACACACAAAAATGAAGTGGAAATGAACCATAGACCCAGATATAACTATAAAACTTCTAGGAGGAGAAAAGATTCACAATCTTGGGGTAGATTTCTTAGAACACAGAAATCACCATTAAAAAAAAAAAAACAAAAAACCTGCTAAGTTGGACTTAATCAAAATTTAAAATTTCTGCTCTTCAAAAGATACTGCTGCGAGGTGGCTCACACCTGTAATCCTAGCACTCTGGGAGGCCGAGGCGGGAGGATTGCCCAAGGTGAGGAGTTCAAAACCAGTCTCAGCAAGAGCGAGACCACCGTCTCTACTAAAAATAGAAAGAAGTTAATTGGCCAACTAAAAATATATAGAAAAAATTAGCCGGGCACGGTGGCGCATGCCTGTAGTCCCAGCTACTCGGGAGGCTGAGGCAGAAGGATCGCTTGAGCCCAGGAGTTTGAGGTTGCTGTGAGCTAGGCTGATGCCACGGCACTCTAGCCCAGGCAAGAGAGCAAGACTTTGTCTCAAAAAATAAAATAAAATAAAAAAGAAAGAAAGAAAGAGGACGTTTGGAGGCAGTAACATTTGAGTATGACTTTTTCCTCCTTTAAACCAGCATGCTCCCTCCTTCCCTCTCCCTCTCCCTCTCCCTCTGAGACACAGAAACTTCCATTCTAACCAGTCCATTGGCCGCCCTCCCATATGCGCACACCAGCAGTCAGTGGCGCATTCGGACACTGCAAATGTAGTGGAGATGGAGCGGGACACGTACGTTTTTGGCGCTGCTGTTGACGTTCTCGCAGGTGATGGGCAGCAGCGTGCTCAGCTCCAGGTCTGTCACCATCTGCCGAGACTCGGCCAGCAGGCGCTGGAGCTTGCTCGTGGGGGAAAAGTCATCCTGGGGAGGTAGCACATTTGAGCATTCGTGAAATTAACAGGCATTTTTAAATTTTTACGTTACAGACACGTTTACAAATGCAAGTGCTAACTGCCCGCTAATATTTCTTGGACTTTGGGTACCACAAAGCAAAGCAGGACATCAAACAGAACCACCAAATTCCTTTTATTTCTCAGAGCTGCCTCAGTTAAATAATTCGACTTAAGCAGAACTTATGACAACTAATTAAGTAACATCCGTATGATAGAACAATCCCAAGGCACTGGATATCTGTCCTAAGTGAACTTTTGAAGGCCACAGTTAGCACGGCAAAATACTTGCCAAGTGGAGCTTTAACACTAAAGGGTTGTTTGTAAGCTTATGGTTAATCTTCAACTGGGGATCGAAACTTTAACATGAAAAGGAGTCACTGCCAACTGTTCTCAAAGGGGCCTAGACTAAGTTTTTTGTTAAGCAAAGTTAATTTCTAATTTTCCACAAACAAGGATCACCACTGACCTGGCATGTCGAAGATGTTTAACAAACACGTGCTAAATGAATATGCCTGTGTATATACATGGATAACATAGGCATGCAATGTTATGTACTGCCTGAGAAAAAATAGGTCTGAACATTGAAAAAGGGTCTCTAAGAGCTAAAAAAAAAAAAAGTAATACCTAATATTTTCCCTCATATTTACAGCTTTAAAAAATTAATGACTTTAGTGTGGTACAACTGACATACAATCACCTATACAATTAAAGTGTACAATCTGATGAGTTTCGACACAAGTATGTACCCATGAAACCACGACCACAAAGAACAGTGAACCCATTCATTGCCCCCAAGGCCCTGTGTGCTTCCTGCGTTCTCAGACAACCCCTGACCTGCTTGAGATTGCTCCGTTCTCAGACAACCCCTGACTCTGCTATAGCCAGAGATTAGTTTGCACTTTCTAGAATTTTATAGAAATGCATTGAAACTTTTATCTGTTTGGCTTCTTTCATTTGGTATAATTATCTCGAGAGATCCACCCATATTGTTGTGCGTGTAAATAATTAATTCTTTTTCATTGCTGAGTATTTCATTTATGGATGTACTACAGTTTTTTTATCCATTCACTTGTTAATGGACATTTGGGCTGTTTCCAGTTTTTCTGCTACTATAAATAAAGCTGCTTGAATATTAGTGTGTAGACATATGTTTTCATTTCTTTAGGAATGGAATGGCTAGGAAGGTACATATTTAACTTTTTAGGAAACTTGCCAAAGTATTTTCCAAAGTGGTTGTACCAGTTACATTCCCACCATCAGTGTATGAAAGTCCCAGTCTAGTCAACACTTGGTAGGGTCAATTTTTATTTATTTTTAATTTATTAATTTATTTTTTTAGACAGAGTCTCACTCTGTTGCCCAGGCTAGAGTGCTGTGGCATCAGCTTAACTCACAGAAACCTCAAACTCCTGGGCTCAAGTGATCTTCCTGCCTCAGCTGCCCGAGTAGCTGGGACTACAGGCGTGCACCACAAGGCTCAGCTAATTTTTTCTATATATTTTTAGTTGGCCAAGTAATTTCTTTCCATTTTTAGTACAGACAGGTTCTCGCTCTTTCTCAGGCTGGCCTCGAACTCCTGACCTCAAGCGATCCTCCTGCCTTGGCCTCCCAGAATGCTAGGATTACAGGTGTGTTTAGGTTACATAGATTGCCTTTGCCCCACCTGAGTCAGTCTCAAGTGTGTCCATCCCCTTGTGCACTGCACCTACTAGGTGTGTACATACCCATCTCCACCTCCCCCCTTCTGCCTACCTCACTCCCGATGAATGTTATTACTATATGTGCACTTAAGTGTTGATCAGTTAATACCATTTTGATGGTGAGTGCATGCGGCGCTTTGTTTTTCCATTGTCTTACTTCACTTAGTACAATGGGCTCCTGCTTCATCTGGGATAACACAAGAGGTGCTAGATCACCATTGTTTTTTGTGGCTGAGTAGAACTCCATAGTATACGTATACCACATTTTATTAGTCCACTCATGTATTGATGGGCACTTGGGTTGTTTCCACATCTTTGCAATTGTGAATTGTGCTGCTATAAACATTCTAGTGCAGGTGTCTTTTTTACAGAATGTCTTTTGTTCTTTCGGATAGATGCCCAGTAATGGGATTGCTGGCAGTTCTACTTGTAGCTCTTTGAGGTATCTCCATATTGCTTTCCACTGAGGTCGAACATTTTAAAAACACACAAAACACTACGTAAAGTTTACGTATATACTTCTAAGTGCTACAAGCATAAAAACAAGCATGGAACCGACTTCAGGAAGGTGGTTAATTGGCGGCGGGGTGGGCATGGGGAGAACGCTTGTGGGACTAACGCTTTTTTAGACTTCATCTCCAACAGTGCATTTCTTTAAAAAGAAAAATAAAGCATGTATGCCCAAATGTAAACATCTGTTAATCTGAATGTAGGTACACAAATGGTTGTTATATTCTTTTTTTGTATGCTTAAAATATTTATTAATTAAAAATAAATATACCAATCACCTGGAAGGCCTAAGGGATGCCCCCACTAAAGCTGACCAGAGGGTACTGAGAGAAAGCAGAGAGCGGGCAACTCGGACTTCAGTTATAACAGAATCCAGAGAAGAAAGCCCGGCCTCCCGGGTACCGCACAAATGACTGAGCCGTGAAGACTCGGTCACAATTCTCCCAGTGTGGACACCAGGAGCTGGGATGTCGTTAGCCGAGCTCAGGCCTCCTCTCCCTGACCTGAGCATGCATCAGAATCACCTGGGGGCTCAGGCAAACACGGACTGGGCCCCTCTCCCAGTTTCTGATTCAAGAGGGCCTGGGTGAGCCTGAGCAACTGCGTTTCTAGCAAGTTCCCAGGTGCTGCCGCTGCTGGTCCACAGAACACACTTTGAGGGAGAACCCCTGCTCTGAACAATCCCGTCCTCCCCGTCTTTCCTTCCTCCAGGCTCTGTCAGTGAAAAACCATAATATGGAAATGACACTTTTTTAAAAAATAAAATTTGTTGAGTTAAAGCTCATTCCTCCCATTCCTCACTTGAAATCAGATGGTAGGCCCATTTTAATTTCTCTTTTAAAAAAGGAAGGAAGAAAAGATTTTTACTTAAAGCCTTTGAGGAAAAGCACCTGCTCTTGCTGTGGTTTCTGAAAGTTTACAGAAAAGACGCCGGAAGACAGTCTACCCATAACGGGCAGTGTCAGAAAGGCCTCGTTCCTGGGCTCTAGCATAGCCCACAGCCAGGCACTGGCTCTCTCACTGGCAGCAGGAAGATTTAAATTTGCCGTCCTGGCAAATCATAAATGTTAGACCTTTTCTTATGTAATAAAATCCCATTTATCATGCATGCATTAGCATGCATGTCTCCGCAGAGCGGTATCTGTAAGCTAGCTCCCCAGCATGATAGCTGGGACTGGCTGAAGACTCAGCTGCCGCCAGGGGGTGTGTCTGGAGGAAGGGGTGGCTGAGCCCAGGCAGTTTGGTGACATCTTCTGGGTGTACATTTCTGTATTGTTCTTGTCAGGTTTTTAACAATAAACATATATCAAATTGCAAAAAACAAAAAATACAATTTTTCTTGAAAGATAAAAAAAATAAGAGAATTGATTATAAAGTACATTAAAGTCCTATAATTTAAAAGAACTGGCTGGGCACAGTGGCTAATGCCTGTGATCCTAGCACTCTGAGAGGCCGAGGCAGGAGGACTGCTTGAGCTCAAGAGTTCGAGACCAGCCTGAGCAAGAGTGAGACCCCATCTCTACTAAATATAGAAAAAAAAATTCGCTTCAACTAAAAATAGAAAAATATTAGCCAGGTCCATGGTGGTGTGTGCCTGTAGTCCCAGCTGCTCAGGAGGCTGAGACAGGAGGATCACTTGAGCCCAGTAATTTGAAGTTGCTGTGAGCTAGGCTGACACCATTGCACTTTAGGCTGGGTGACAGGAGTGAAACTGTCTCAAAAAAAAAAAAAAGAAATGAAAAATAGAATTCACGTGTGTGCGTCCAGCTACTCGGGAAGGCCTGGGCAGTGAGGATCGCCTTAGCCCAGGAGTTGGAGGCTGCCGTGAGCGATGATCAAACCACTGCCTCAGGCAGGTGACAGAGTGAGGCCCTGGACCCTGACTCTAGAAACAAATAAACACATAACTTAGGAATGGCCAAAACGAAGCAAGCAAACTAAAGTGCTAGAGAAGCATCAAAAGCACACTGGCGAAAAATCCTGCCTGAATCAGCAGCGGATGTCTAAGCAAAATACGAACCTTTTCATTGGACGTCGCTTCATCTTTGCTGACCAACAAACTCTTAGGTGAGTTCTTTTATCAGAACAGACGACCTCTGCTCAATTCCTCCTCCGTTTTTTTTTTTTTTTTTTTTTTTTTTTTTTTTTTTGTTTTCTTTTGTTTTTTTTTTTTTTTTTTTTTTTTTTTTTTTTTTTTGTTTTTTTTTTTTTCTGTTAAGGCAGATTTTTGAGAATCCAAACAGTGGGAATGTTGGATGGCAATTAGTTCACTACGAATAATAAAACCAAACAAAAATGTGTCTGTAAATGCAGTAATCATGACAACACAATATCACCTATACTCCTTATACTTAACGGTCCTAAAGAGCGACAAAACAATAAGTGTTTTTTGTTAATGAAGCACCTTGAGTTTGAGTAGAGATATTACCAGGCCTGGCGGGTAGAAAACATATACCAATTGATGGGCGATACCCTTTTGCAAGTAAGAATTAAAATTCTTAGTTAAGGGTAACTATAGAATAGGGAAGTCCTAGTTCCCAAAAAATACAAAGGAAAGACGGTTCTAGGGACAAGATCATCCAAAAGGGAGGGAAAAAAATAAATTAACATAGAATAAGATTATACTTGTGAAAATTTCCGGTTTTGGGTTTGTGAGACCGATTTCTGTTAACAGCTTTTTAAAGTCCTTTTATGAAAGTATTATGGCCCCACGGAGGCTGATCGATCCTCCTACAGGTAGACAGTGTTGGGAACAAACACGTAGCTAAGCTTCTAAGTATGTTATTAAGGTTTGGGCTCACAGCAGAGTTTAACAGCAAAAGCCGTTCTGGAACGGACCAGAAGCCACAGAACCGCATCCTCCCACGTAACCTACAGCTGAGTGGGAACAGGCTGCCTGATGTTCCTCCCTCCACAGGTAAACCTCGATTTGTCAAATGCAACGGTGGCTAAAATGTGAAAATTTCAGTTAGATAATGAAGTAGGCATACAAGTTCTCACGATCTAAGGAAAAATAGGAAAACACGATTATCTGCTCTACTTAATCACATATTTGTCATGTGACGCCTTGGCATGCGTCTGGGCCGGCAGAACAAGCCGTCACTTCAATTACTTTAAGTCATCGAGGTCAAAGGGGCCTTGAGAGAAACTCTGAATGTAAATTTGCATTTAGTTCACACGTTAAATTTAATCCATTATGCTCTTAAAACTATCTGACATAAGCTTTTGCCTTAATATATAAGTGTTCTTGTTTAGTGGTGAAAAATAGATAGTTGTACCCTACTGAGACTTGCAATTATCCAAAGGTCTTTTAAAAGCCAAATAAGAATAGATGACATTTGGTGTCACAACCAACTTTTAAAAAATAAATTTTAATAATTGGCAGAATAACTAACTATCTGTGCGATTTTTAAATGACTCAAAGCTTTCGAAGGGCCAAAGGAAAAAAAATGAATAAATTAAAATAATCAAATAAATATAAGGGCCAAGAATACTCCAAATAATGAAGTACTAGAAAGAAATTTTAATCATAAAGTCCTGTGAAAGTCAACGTAACGACTGAAATATGGCTCTCAATATAGAAACTTCATCTTTTCTGTAATTTAAGATTGAAGAGCTGTGCTTTATTTAAAAATAGTAGACATTATCACAGCGCAAACTCAACCACAAGATTCAGCAATTCCAACAATAAGACGAGCCCGGATAATGCAGCCCAGGCTAACACCTAATCCATTTCCTTCTCAAAAAACAAAACAAAACAAAACAAAACAAAACTCAGTAACTTTTACCAGTTTGCTAAATACAAATACGCTTTCTCTTGAATCTCTCTTGAACTATGCCAAGGGACCCTGGACAAGGGCCGTGAGAAATTTTTACGTGGGGTCTGGGCGATGCAACCTGGACCAGAAAGGGTCAGCCTGCCAATTCAGGGTGGCTCAAGGGGTGAAGAATGCTCTAGAGCAGCATTCCACTCTGCACGGGGACCCCACCCGCTTGTTTTTTAATAAAACATATTTGTCCAACTCATAATAACCGGTTTTGTTTTTAAACAAAACCTTTGCCTCAGAAGCCACCCTCGGTACAAACTCTCCGCCGGAATCTTAATACAGGCCCTGGACAAAGGCCAGGCGGCCTAGGCCTCGATGGAAAGAGCGAACAGTCTGTCTTAAACAAGGTGTCTGTCTGCAAATCCCGCTTGCTGGTCCACGGCGGGCACGCAGCGGCGACTGTCGCCCTTTGGCACACACGGGGACGTGTGCTCCCTGGCCGTTTATGGCAGTGAACGTTACTAACCTCGTGGAGGAGTTACGTTTCGTCCCACTGACGCCTTCTGAACAAGTGCACTCGGACTTGTGGCGGACGTGTCTTTGGTTTTTGGAAGGCTTGAAAATACTCATCCACTCCCCGTCAGACATGTGGCCGGGGCCCCCCACGACGGCGTTGCTGGGGTGGCAGCACCTGGGCGATTCACAGTCGCTCTCACCCAGGCAGGCTTCGCTTTTCTGGCTGCGGGAGGTTTCAGGCCTTTCCGCCTGATCTTGGCCTTCCACATCCAGCTTTTCCGGTTGTCTTGGACCCGGAGAGTTGGCCAGGCCCAGGTAAACGTTGACGTCGTGCCACTGCTTTTCGTCAGATGAGGCTGATATTTCTGAGAGTTGTCTCTCCCCGTTCTCAACCCCAATTCCATTACCTTTTGGTGATTTTCCGTGGATCTTGCACAACGTAATTTTATTTTCAGGTTCGATCTGGATTTTTCCTCCCAGAGACCAAGGTTTTTGTTTCTCCATTAAGTCTTTTGTAAATACAGATGACAGAGTAATGACACTTCGTTCCCCGAATGCAGAATTGATCTGTAGTTTCTTCTCTTTGCACAAGTCACAGGAGCTCTTGTCTGATCTATTTTGCTGAACCAACATGGCTTCAAATTTTTGGTCCCTAACTGGTGACTTCTGATTTTTTCCCCTCTTAATATCGACTTTTGAGTGATGATTTTCAAGGTCTGATAAACTCATGTCTCTGCTATGGTGGCATTACAAAAAATGGAGGTTATGAGATATACTTGATATGCTATCACTCTAAGTATTTCACCCAAATCTCACTAGTAGAGCTAAATTACAATAAGACCTACCTGTCTGACCTACAGAGCCCAATTCCAGCCTGGCCTCCTACAGGAATCCTCTGACCACCAAGCCCATATTCACTTCCCTTTCCCACTCTTATCTCCTGTTGTACTTGCTGTCTATATAACAAATAAAAAATCAAGAATACTACATATACCATCTAGGGGATGGTCATGATGGAGACTCAGACTTTTGGGGGGAGGGGGAGAAATGGGCATTTATTGAAACCTTAAAATCTGTACCCCCATAATATGCCGGAAAAAAAAAGAATACTACATAAATCTAACAAAACATTTTCATAAACCTTCCTTTATAGTTTGCCACGTCACATGTAGTCCTGTATTTCAGGTATTCTAATCTGCATCATCGTGATATTGTGATAGCTTAGAAATCACAACTCTCTCCTATAATGGCAAAAAACCCATTTCATGCTCTTTATTTTTTCAAGAAATTGGGGCTTGCTCTGTCACCCAGGCTACAGTGCAGTGGCCCAATCATAGCTCACTGCAGCCTCCAACTCCCGGGCTTACAGGGGCGACCCACCACACCTGGCTAACTTCCTGCTTTTAAGGAATAACTTCAACTCATTTATGCCTCCCAGTGGCAGTGAAATTCAAAAGGAAAAAGAGCTGATATGCGGAGGGCTTCTGCCTGTAAGAGAACCATGGGCTGTTCTGGTGTCTGCAGGTGGCAGTGGCTGGGATACAGAGCAACAGGGTGGCCACCGCAGCAGAGGGCCTTGGAAGGAAAGCAAGACAGCAAGTGCAGCACCTGAAGCCTCAGTGACACTGCCTGGAGCCACACTGCTGCCTACCCCCCATTCTCACAGCTGACCACCACCACTCTGAACCCCAATCTCCCAGGGAGGAAGGACCCGATGTCAATCCAGCCCAGCCCATGGGTGTGTTCAGGCCTGGGGAACTGCCCTAATCCCCTGCCTTCTTTTTTTTTTTTTTTGAGACAGAGTCTCACTCAGTTGCTGGGGCTAGAGTACCGTGGCATCAGTCTAGCTCACAGCAACCTCAAACTCCTGAGCTCGAGCGATCCTCCTGCCTCAATCTCCTGAGTAGCTGGGACTACAGGCATGCATGCATCCACCATGCCCGGATAATTTTTTCTATATATTTTTGGTTGGCCAATTAATTTCTTTCTATTTTTAGTAGGGATGGGGTCTCGCTCTTGCTCAGGCTGGTTTCGAACTCCTGACCTTGTGCAATCTTCCCGCCTCGGCCTTTCAGAGTGCTAGGATTACAGGCGTGAGCCACCGTGCCTGGCCAATCCCCATGCCTTTTAACCATGCCTTGTAACATTTCTGCTTACAAAAGTAAACTCAATGCAACTGCAGTACAGTTATGCCTGTTAAATGAAACCACAGAAACCAGTTTAAGGGCCAGGTGCGGTGGCTCACGCCTGTAATCCTAGCACTCTGGGAGGCTGAGGTGGGTCGATCACTCAAGGTTAGGAGTTCGAAAGCAGCCTGAGCAAGAGTGAGACCCCGTCTCTACTAAAAATAGAAACAAATTAATTGGCCAACTAATATATACAGAAAAAATTAGCCAGGCATGGTGGTGTGTGCCTGTAGTCCCAGCTACTCAGGAGGCTGAGGCAGAAGCTGACCCCACAGCACTATAGCCAGGGCAACAGAGTGAGACTCTGTCTCAAAAGAAAAAAAAAAAAAAAAAAAAAAAAAACCAAACCAGAAACGAGTTTAATTCCTACACTGCTTATTATAGGTAAGGGAAGACGTTTCCTGTTAACAAGGAAAACAGGAAAATCGAGTTGGGAGCGCAGATCGCCCTCAGCTGGCTGAGTGTCTGCTGCGGCTGCTGATGCCACCCTTCGGCATCATTTCTTTCAGACAAGCACCACGTCCAACATGCCTTTACATCCCGCGTTCCCAGCCCGCGCCTGGACGCTGCGAGTGCTGAGCGGATGGCTGGCTGAGTCACCTCTGCAGTTTCTGCTCTAGCCCGAAGCCTCCCGCCCCACAGACGCGTGTCAGGCTTAACGGATTTACTTTTGCCAAGTGGCTACATTAGGATCATGCCCCAAATTCTCAGATCTCAGGTCTCACCGTAACCCAGAATTACGACGATAATTATTAGCTCACTGACATTTATTTCCTACTCTATGGTGAACAGTGCTAAGTGCAGGCCCACGGCGAGTAAGGAATAAATACTGATCAAATAATGGGATAAAATGCAAGACCATGTTGATGGCACCGTGCTAAGATTACCTGCATTCCAGGGCCTTTGGTTCCTCCATCCTTGAGTCATACAATTGTATTAATTCCTGAGAGTTTTCCACGTTGAAATTAAGAAACTGCAGATCACTCTGTTGTTTTACGTAAATCTGCCATAGATATTGATAAATCAGTATGAAATGTCGGAACAAAACTAAACTGAGCGAACAACTGGGCACTTTCAAACCCTGTAACAGATCAGATAGTTGTAAGGGAAACCTGCCAAGCATGTCTGCTTTTGTTTTCCCAATGTCAGCACAAAGATTTACGAGGATAGCCAGTCTCCTGACCTTGAAGGACCATGAGCAAGACCATGCCTGCTAAGCTAAACGTGACATACGTCTAATGCAGTTAGGATTCCAAAAGCAGAATCAACAGGCACATGTTTTTCCTAGTCCGTTATTTGTTTATAAATACCTCCCACCCAACACTGAGAGAAGGGAAGTGAGGACATACCTGTCTCAGGTTATGAAGTTCTGAATTTGTACGGTCTTGCTTTGACTTTGCAATATCAAGCAGCTCATCTTTCCTCTTTTCTCTCTCTACTGTTTGAGAACAGATATTATTAAAACATTCTTCATCAGCCAGATCAACACAAACCTCTCCCTTTCTAACAATTTAATGCTCAACTAACAGGTTTTTGTTGTTGTTGTTGTTCCTGAACTTCAAAATAGCAGCATGGCTTACCTACTGGGAAGAGCTTTAACCTGTGATTCTCACTAGATCCTTCATCAAATGGGAAAATGCTCACAATATAAAGCTAAGTCAAAAAAGGATTCAAAATTACATGTGTATCTGTATGCACATACGCACAGGAAAAATCTGAGAGCAAGTATCCCAAAGTATTAAGAAGTTATTTTTAGATGGGAAGATTAAAGACATTTATTTTTCTTTTTTGGGAGATAGGATGAGGGTGATTCCTACATTTCTGTACATAATAATATAGTACTTTAGTTTTTAACTCTTTTCTCCGGGAGCAGTGCCTGTAATCCTAGCACTCTGCGAGGCCTAGACAGGAGGATCGCTCAAGGTCAGGAGTTCGAGGAAAGCCTGAGCAAGAGCAAGACCCCGTCTTCTAAAATAGAAAGAAATTAATTGGCCAACTACGAAGAGGTATATAAAAACAAAAACTCAGCCGCGCAGCGGTGGACATGCCTGTGGTCCCAGACTCGGACTGAGGCTGAGGAGACGATTGCTTGGCCAGGAGTTTGAGGATTGCTGTGAGGCTAGGCTGGCAGCGCCCATGGGCACTCACTCTACGCCTGTGGCAAATCAAGCAAAGACTGCTTGTCTCCAACAAAGAAAAAAAAAACAGCGAACATCTAAGGGCAGAGGCGTGTGTTTGCCGGTGGACGTCAGCTCCACCCGAGCAGCAGCTCCGCAGCAGCTGTGCTGGCGCTCGTCGGGACCACGGGGCACGGAACAGTGAAGCGATCTGTGCGGAACCCGCCCCAACACGAGTGTGTGCGTCAGGCTTGCCAGGGCAGGTCTGTAGCATCATCTTACTTCTAAAGGTAACCCTTGCGCACAAAATTGAGAACCTTGAGAAAAGCACAGTGAATGCCACTGTGCCAGGTTCAGTAAGTTTTCTCTACTCAATTCTTAATTTCTTTCTTTGCATTAGGCAAGTCCAAGCACTCTTACGCAAAACTGACTAAATAATGGTAGACTTGCACAATTGAGGTAGAGCCTGCATTAGTTGTATAGTGAAGTTCATGTATGTACACAGGGAGTAAATAAAGAGGAAGCCCCGACTTTTTGACTTGGGGAGAGGGGAGGCCCACAGGAGCATCTGGCCTAAGCTCTGGGGTCTGCATTTTCACGAGCCTCTCCATATTGGCATCTTCACAGGCTGAGTATTCCTGACTTGTGAAAGGACACTGTTGTTAGCCCGAGCGAGGTGGTCAGGCTTAATCCTAGCACCTGTGCGGGCTGAGTGGGTGGCGGTCGCTCAAAAGTCAATACGTGTCGAAACCAGCCGTGAGCAAGAGCGAGACCCCCGTGGTCTCGTGATGAATAATAGAAAGAAATTAAATTGGCGAAACCGGGTGGGTATGAGTAATATCAACTGAAAAAATTTAGCCAGGCAATGGTGCGCATGCCTGTATTTTCCCGGCTCAGCTGGGCAGAAGGATCGCTTGGCCCCAGAGAGTGACGGTTGCTGGTGGCGTAGGCTGGGCACCAATGGCATCACTTAGACACTCGCGGGCAACAGAGTGAGACTGCCTGTCGTCAAAAAATCAAATAAAAAATGTACAATAAATAAATAAAGACACTTGTTTTTGGATACAGTGTGGCCCCAGAGCAAAAGCCCTTTATCTGGCCCTCAAAGTAATTTTAAATACATGTGAATATTGCCTTAATGTCTGATTGGAGAATAACCTACTGTTGGAGAAGAGGCAGTCCCACTGTAAAAGCTTCTCAAGTTCCGACAGCTTTCTGTGTGGCTGGGATTGGCTGAGAGATCACAGTGGAGTCTGCCTATTTTCACAAGCTGGTCACAGAACACTAAGAGGTAAGGGACTCTGCTGACGTCGGCCTGCGGAAGCAGCCTGCATGAGAGCTGCAGAAAGTGCACTGGGAGTCTGGAACCTGCCGAATTCCGGTCAAGGCTCTGCCTTTTACTGCCTGGGAGACCTGAGGCAAGACACACAGTGGCAGGAGGCCTCACCATCGTTCAGTTTGCAAACTCCTTATAAGCAATATATACAAACAAACCAAACGTGTCCTCATCTGCGCTATATGAGAGAACTTATCTTCACAAAGGCACAAAGTTTCTTTTGTTTTGTCTTGTTTTTGTTTTTGAGACAGTATCATTGTCTTGCCTGGGCTCGAGTGCCATGGTGTCAGCCTAGCTCACAGTAACCTCAGACTCCTTGGAAGCATCACGCAATCCTCACCTGCTGCAGCGCTCCCTGGGTAGCTGGGACTAACAAGATGTGCCACCATGCCGGGCTAAGTTTTTTATATACATTTTTTAGTTGGCCAATTAATTATCTTCTTATTTTTACGTAGAGACGGGGTCTTCGCCTCTTGCTCAGGCTGGTTCGAACTCCTGACCTTGAGCGATCCACCCACCCTGGCCTCCCAGATTTAATTCCTTTTATAGATTGTAATAAACATAAAACTGTTTCAAACAACTGGCATAGGAATAGTTGTCTTCAGTAAAGAAACAGATGTTGGTAGGAATCAGCCTTAGGAATTATATCCAGGAAAAGCTTTATCTTCACAAATGAAATAATACGTAATTAGCTAATAAATTCTTTATACTTTACCTAGTAACATAATAGTAAACATGAGTAAAAAACGATAAATCAAAAACAAAGGAGAGGCCGGGCGCAGTGGCTCACGCCTGTAATCCTAGCACTCTGGGAGGCTGAGGCGGGCGGATTGCTCAAGGTCAGTAGTTTCAAACGAGCCTGAGCAAGAGCGAGACCGCTCTCCCTATATAAATCAGAAAGAAATTAATTGGCACTAAAGTATCATATAACAAGAAAAAAAAAAAAATAATTAGCCGGGCATGGGTGGTCCAATGCTGTCAGTTCCAGTACTCGGAGGCATGAGACGGGAGCGTTGCTTGAGCCAGGAATTTGAGGTGCTGGTGAGCCTGGCTGACGCCACGGCATGCTCCACTCTAAGCCTGGGCAACAAAGTTGATCCCTGTCTCAAAAAAAAACAAACAAACAAACAAAGGAGATTTAAAATATCTATAAACTTGATGCTTTCTTCCGACCTCCCATGGCATAATTCATAACATTTGTAAAGTACGACACTCTCTGCAGGCATGTGAGCTTCTGGACAAGTAGCAGGGTGCCTGGCATACAAATGCCGATCTTTGGATTGTTGTTTGAATTCAAATGTAAAGCAACAAATGTATCTTTAGTAATATAAGAGGTATCATTACTTGGAGATGCAGCAATCCTAGAAGTAATGAAAATAGTGACATCTAGTGGTAGAAAGCCACACTTTCTCCCAGTCTTTAATCACAGGAGATTATAATTAAAGCATCTCAAGGCTCCCTTCCACGCTCAGGCTGGAAGGGAGTGTGGCTCCTCATTTTTCAGAAGCGGAAATAGTTCCTGGGAGGCACAATGACAACATGAACATTCCTTGCCTGGCAACTCACAGATCCCTTACAGGGTGTTGAAAGACAAAAACAAAAAGCTATTTTGAGAGGGGCACAATTCCTGGACCCTGTCATAGCAGTATCATAGGAAGTTTAGGTGACAAACACATAACAATTCAATCACTTAAATTGATCATCTATTTTTACCAGTGAAAACCAATTCATCGTGGAGGCAGCTTTTCTCCTGCTTGAGGCGAATGATCTCTTCTCGCTGTTCGTTGTTTTCTGTTGTCTTTTCGCTGAGGTCTTCTTCACAAGAGAAGGAAAAAAAAGACCTCAAATAAATAGTAATTTGTGGGAAAATACACACTATGACTACCCCTCGTGTCCGAGCACTCCCTTCCCATTAATCTGAAAGTCCTGTTGGATCTATGGCCCAAATGTGGGACACTGAGCCTTTTAATTTAGGGGATCAGGCCGGGCGCTGTGGCTCACGCCTGTAATCCTAGCTCTTGGGAGGCCGAGGCGGGTGGATTGCTCAAGGTCAGGAGTTCAAAACCAGCCTGAGCAAGAGCGAGACCCCGTCTCTACTATAAATAGAAAGAAATTAATTGGCCAACCAATATATAGAGAAAAAATTAGCCAGGCATGGTGGCGCATGCCTGTAGTCCCAGCTACTCAGGAGGCTGAGGCAGAAGGATCGCTTGAGCCCAGGAGTTTGAGGTTGCTGTGAGCTAGGCTGACGCCACGGCACTCACTCTAGCCTGGGCAACAAAGCGAGACTCTGTCTCAAAAAAAAAAAAAAAAAAAAATTTAGGGGATCAACACTCACTGCAGGTAGCAGAGATCGACAAATTGGACTGAAGTTCTGGACACCCTGTTGGTGTCAGAGAACTGAAAGATTAGTTGATATCAGAGAAAATATCCCAGAACGTTGAAACCTCAAAACTCATGCTAGGGCTTTTGCATTCGCGGCCTCTCCTGCCTGAGAGGGACTTGGCCTGGGTCTTCACAAGGCTGGGTCCCCCCTCATTCAAGTTCCAGCTCAAATGTTAACTCTTCAATGAAGCCTTCCCAGTCTAACCAAATCAAATGAGTCTGTCTGTCTCACTCTCCATGCTCCCACCCAATATCCTGCTTGTCTTTTTTAAAAAAATGTTTTCAATAAATATGCATGTATAAAATATTTATAACACATAAATACTGACACAACAGACTTATTACTTGAATATCTCACCGAGGTATATATAAACATTCAATAAACACCCAATACCCACCATGTGTGCCAGGTGCTGTGTTATTAACTGTGTATCCAAACATGAGAAGACAAGAGTCTCGCTGCTACCAAGAGGCTGACACTATGGTTATAGTTTTAGCCAAGGCTATGCATGGGGGTGAGAGCTGTGAGTGACCGTAGGTCAGGCATCATAAGGACGGGACTTTAGAGTGCTGAATCTCTTCAATTAAATCAGCCAAGATAACATTTCATAATTTCAGAATCTTTTCGTTGAAATAAATGTAAAAGGTGATTTAGTCCGGGAATCCTTCCCACAGGAATCCTTCCCACGCTGGTCCCTCACTTGAATACATCCAGGAGAGTAGCTCACGGCCCCACGAGGCGTCCCAGGGTGCACAGACGTAGGACGACTTCCCCAGACTGTGGCTCTGTCACAGCTTCTAAGGTGGCTTGTTCTAAGGAGGAATCAGCCCTCTTGTCCAATGCCATGACCATTTGTACAATGTGATACTGTGGGTGCAGTTTTAAGATCAAAATGATAGCCCCTCAGTCCAGCAGTTGCTGCTGCCCCACAGTGGGGAACGGTCGGAGAGAGGGGGCCCTACCTCCAGCCCCTTGCAGACTATTTAAAATCTTTTCTTTTTTTTTTTTGAGACAGAGTCTCACTTTGTCGCCCAGGCTACAGTGAGTGCCGGGGCGTCAGCCTAGCTCACAGCAACCTCAAACTCCTGGGCTCAAGAAATCCTACTGCCTCAGCCTCCCGAGTAGCTGGGACTACAGGCATGCGCCACCATGCTCGGCTAAGTTTTTCTATATATATTAGTTGGCCAATTAATTTCTTTTTTTATTTATAGTAGAGACAGGGTCTTGCTCTTGCTCAGGTTGGTTTTGAACTACTGACCTCGAGCAATCCGCCCGCCTAGGCCTCCCAGAGTGCTAGGATTACAGGCGTGAGCCACAGCACCCAGCCTATTTAAAATCTTTATACCATTACCTATATCCATATTCAAATATACTGCACTAACTTATTTGAGATACCTTGCCTTCCTTTCATTATAAAACTTCAAGAATTCCATTACTCAGAAAGAAGTGAATCATGCAGTTACCATGAGAACAAAAATAGAAAAGAAGAACCCGAAAGGAATTTTCGAAAACGAAGCACACACCCAAACGCCACCCCGGTAGACTGTGGTGTTAGTAGCAATTCCTCATCTCTGCACGCGGCTCTGCGGTTCCCCCCACAGAGGAGGAGCGGAGTGCGTTTCCTTCGCCGCTTGACTTGGAGTTTGGCCGCATGACTCACTTCAGCCAATAGACCGGGACAGAAGTGAGGGTGTCAGGCCCAGGCCTAAACCTTAGAGTCCTCACGTGTCTTTGCTGAAGCTTCCGCCCTCGAGGCGGGAAAAGCCCAGGCCAGCCCACTGGGGAGGGAAGAAGAGACCCGTGAGGCAGAGCTGCCCCCCATGAGCAGCTCAGCAGGGCCCAAACGAGATCAGCCTGCTTCCGCCTGGCCTCGAGATGGACGAGATGCACCCGTCTAATAAGCGCCCCGGCTGCACGCCACTCAGACACCGCTATTGTCCGTCACAGAGCATGCGTTAGCAGGAAGCAACGGTATAGTTGCCTAAACTAGGGCAGGAGTATTTTAAAATAGGATGTATTACGCAGTTTTCTCCAATTCTGCTACTACCTTGTAACCCAAAAATCGCAGCATAATTCTGTATAAATGAAATGGATATTTCATGTTAGGGCCCAAGGCCAGGAACAGACCTATTGACTCTCAAACATAAAGTTAGGTGAAGCCAAATAAGGCAGTATTATATATTCCCGAGATAATATATTGTGATCCTACATGCATGTCTCTTTCTTACCTTTCAGTTTATTGACTTCAATCTTAAGTGCCTTCAATTTCTGCTTATAATCCTGCTTTTCTTTCACAATACAAGTCTCCACCATCTTGGCGTCGCGTAAAGCGTGCTCTAACAGTTTAAATTTCCCCGAGCAGTCTGAAATGTGATTGACTGCCTCGATAATATCCTTGTCCTAAAAACCAAATTTGAAAACGGTTATCCTAGATTTTAAAATTCCAACTAATCAGTAAGAAACGATTACACTTAAATTCCCATTGTGTGCCAGGTTTCATTCCAAGCATTTGTCATGTATTAACTTATTTAATCTTCACAGTAACCCCATGAAGTAGGTACTGTTATTGTTGCCAGGTGACAGATGAGTCAACAGACACCGAAAGGTGACTTTACTTGCACATGGTTACAAAACTAGTTAGTGATGGAGCTGCCATTTGACCCTAGCTGGCTGGCCACAGAAACTATGCACTAAACCATGATACCTTACTGACGCTCAGAAAGTTCAGAACCAGACAATTTGATTACCTGAGAAACTAGGAGCAAAGGGAGAGTTGGCAGCCCTTGGCGGGGAAGTCGTCCTCTGGATCCCAGGTAAACCCCAGGGCTCACCATTTCCTCCCTTCTTTCCACCTGTTAACGTGACAGGCTCTGAGACCTCCTCCCAAACTTACCACATTAGAATCTCTTATTTGCTGAGGTTGTTTTAATTACAAAAAAGGTATCTGCTTGTTATAAATCAATTCAAACAATACCTAAAAGTATAAAAGTAGTAAGTAAAAGTTCTAACCCTCTCCCACTCACCTGGAATAACTGTTATTAACAGGTTTTACCCCAGCTGAATGAAGTGTAAGCGTTTCTGCTACAGCATTGTATATGCATTCCCTCTTTCCTTTAAAAAACAGGGTCCTGCTCTGTTGGCCTAGGCTGGGGTGCAGTTGTGCAATCGTAGTTCGCTGCAGCCTTGAACTCCTGGGCTCAAGCCTCCCAAGTAGCTGGGACTACAGGCATGCACCACCATACCTGGCTAATTTTTCTATTTTTTGTAGAGACAGGGCCTCACTATGTTGCCCAGGCTGGTCTCAAACTCCTGGCTTCAAGCGATCCCCCCCACCTTAGCCTCTCAAAGTGTTGGGATAACAAGCGTGAGCCACCACACTCAGCCTCATATATGCATTCTTAAAAAACCCCATCATCTGCACATGTCATGCTAGGAGGCTTACAGAATAATAGGGTGGGGGCAGGCCATTAAAAAACCAACGGAACTTTGTGCCCAGACAGACTAGTAGCAAAAAATAACAGTGTTAATAAGCATAGGAGCAATTAGGCCAATGCCAGTAGAAGCACATCACAGTCAATCCCTCTCAGCCTTAAACCTGGGGCTCTCCTTCCTCCTTTGATAAGTATGTCCTGAAAAGCACGTGCTTCAAATGGAAACCATTTTCATCAAAATAAAAACGCCAAATCTGCGAGCACAGCCTTCTTCACGAATCCACTGTTTTCACTTGGGGGAAATGCCTTTGTGGCATTTCCATTAGTGCTCACAGCTTTGCCAGAGTCTGCTCTGATGGAAACCATAGCAGTTGCTGAACTGGCCACCACTTTGCTAAAGAAAATATTGTATATTTTAATATTTTTCTCTTTAATTTTAAGAACGGTTGCCCCTGATCACTTCAAAACATTATGTGCTAGGGAAAAAAAATCACATATGAATGAGCATGAGTGTCCCATTATACCAACATCATTCCCCTAGTTACTGTCAAAGATGATGTGTTATAGCCCAAGAGACTGTATATTACTGCACAGCGCATGCTGGTGACTACATCAACCGCTTGACTAACAGTTTTACTCTCCCTTAAAAATAATATTTCCAATAAAAAAAAATTAAGAAAATTTATTTTAAAAAAGGAAAAAAAAATGTTACAGCACCGCACATTGCGAAGTAACTTTAAGCAGACTAATACATGATACCCTTGACAAAACAAAAAAAAAAAAAAAGTAACATGTTGTTGAATTCATGGCATCCAAGGCATGGATGGCAATGAGCACAGAGAACCACTGGGAGACCATGCCTCATTCTTTAATGCTGACACATCATTCTTACGCCTGTTCCTCTTTATACAACGAGTCAGTCTCTTCGCAAACGAGAGCATTTTCTATGTACTATGTACACTGGTAGCTCTATATTTCTGGGATGCTCTGAACTAGGTGAATATGCTGTGAGGCTATACTTGCAGACCTACAGTGCTCTCGCAAGGGAGCCTTGTTTTTAGTACTTCTCTAGCTTTATCAGCCCCTGTAGTGAGACCTGTTCTCGAGATCTTCAGTTGCTCACCTGAGCGAAAGTTTCCTAAATGTGCTGCTCAGGGTTTCATTTCTAGCCTGCAAGGAATGACACAAACAGTCACTTCATTGAGTCTTGTTAAAGCTTTCTATTATCCCACCAGTCAATCTCCATCTTCTATTCTTGGTTTTGACTGTCTTAACTTTCGTTTAAGTAACATAGCCCTAAAAGCACATCACTCAACAGGAATACCAGGCGGGCGCCGGTGCGCTGATCCTGCTATCCTAGCACTCTGGGAGGCACCGAGCAGGCAGAGTTCTCAGGTCCAGGGAGTTGGAACCAGCTGAGCAAGAGTGACGAACATCTCTACAAAATACGAAAAGAAACCATCTTACATTGCCCACGTAATATATAGAAGAGAATTAGCAGCATTGCCATGCGCCTGTAATCGATACTTGGGAGCTGAGGCAGCGGAGGCATCGCGTGAGCTAAGAGCTTTGACCGTGATGCTGTGAGCTATGAGCCTGCCACGCCCTCTAGTCGCAGACTCTGTCTCAACCGAAAAACAGAATACAATTGTCCCTTCTCTTTCACAAAAGCAAAAAGTATATAAATATCTATTTCTACATGATTTCTAGCATCTTCTCAATACTTATATTTGCTCTAGTGAATTATATTGGTTATGCTCATGTCTATTTCCCAGTATCTTTTATGTATAATTTTAGGTTGGGAAGAAGGAAGAAAATGAATGAATGAGAACTGGGTTAGTAAGAGATTTCCTTTGCTGAAATACAGTGGCATTGATGAATTCTGTGAATTTTTTAAAAACTCTGTGTTGAAAGAACTTCACAATGAGGTACTCCCACTTATCAGTTGCTGGTTTTTTTTTTTTTGTTTTTTTTTTAAACCAAAGCACTGTATCTGATATAATTACTGTGTACATGATGTATTTGCTAGCTGGAAAAAAAATAATAATCAGACTTTTTAAAAGAAACCTTCGGGAGGAAACTTAAATGCATATTACTAAGTGAAAAAAGTCCATGTGAAAAGGCTATTTACTGCATGACTCCAACTACATGACAGTGTGGAAAAGGCAAAAAACCATGGAGACGGTAAAAAGATCAGTGTTACCAGGGGTGAATGGGGAGGAACGGACAGGAAGCAGAGGACAGGTGGAGCACAGAGGAGTTTTAGGACAGTGAAACTATTTTGTACATACTACGATAGTGGATATATGTCATTATATATGTCATTTGTTGAAACCTCATAGAATATAAAACTCAAAGAATGAATCCTAATGTAAACTGTAAACACCAGGTGATAATGACGTGTCAGTAAAGATTCATCAGTTATAACAAACGCCCCACCCTGGTGCCGGATGTGAACAGTGGGGAAGGCTGTGTGTGTGTGTGTGTGTGTGTGTGGACACAGGGGGTGTGGGAACTCTCCTACTTTCTGCTCAATTTTGCTGTGAACCCAAAACTGTTCTAAAAGATAAAGTTCAGTAATTATAAAGATATCTTCCATTTTGTCATCCAACATATTCAACAGGATTTGGTAATGATTTTGTTTCCTTTATTTTACTAGCTAAAACTATCAGGGAATGAGTATTCCTAACAAACAACAACAAAAAAAAAAAAACCTAAAATAAATCTACAAGTTCCTTATTATGACTATATATAAGACTATGTAGCTGGGCGGAGGTGCCATGTGCCTGTATCTAGCGCATGCTGGGCAGGGCCGACGTAACAAACAAAAACAATCTCACATCCACCAAGAACAAACCGGGGGGTGCGGATTGCTCAGGCAGTAGTGTCAAACCCCAGCCCGAGCAAGAGTGAGTACCGTGTCCTACATAAATAGAAGAGAATTAAATTGGCCAACTAAAAATAGAATAGAAAGAAATTAGCGGGCCATGGAGTGGTGTATGCCTGTAGTCCCAGCTACTTGGGAGGCTGGGACAGAGGATTGCTTGAGCGACACTCCAGAGGGTTTGAGGTTGGCTGTAGTACAGCGGCACTGTCTAGCACCCCCCCCCCCCCCCCTCTTAGGCGAACAGGTGGGATAGACTCTGTTTCCAGGGGGAAAAATAAATTAAAAAAAGACTCATTACATCGTTACGGAGGACCTTACTGATTATTCACTCCCTATGTTAACAAGGTTAATGATTGAAAGATGAACGCAAAAAAAGTAGGTGGTTTTCTGCTCCTTTACCTCCATAAGGGCACAACGTGCTGGAAATTAAACTATGTGATGGACTGGACTGGGTTAGACAAAAAAAAGCTGGAAACCATCAGTCTCAGACCTTTTATACCCCAAAAGCCACCAACAATGGTGTAGGACATGATATCACCATCCAGATTAAGACATAATAATTTAGGAAACATAATTTGAAGCTACCAAAACTTGATGATACTCATCCCAGCCTTTGAGAAAGGCTTTCTAAAATAACCCATTGTTGATTAACTGGTAGGATGCTCTGAAAGCCAATGGCGATAATATTAACGAAGGGTTGGAAAATGAGCGTTGACTCAAGGACAGCAAAGTGCTGTGCAGCTGACCAAAACTGCAGGATGAATACAAAATACTGCACATTGTGGGATTGATGGTAGTATAATTTCAAAACAACCATTACAACCAAGGGTGCGATTCTTGTAACGGAAACAATTTAAATCTAATTTTTCAATAATTGAAACACAAACAGCATTTGGACTAGTGAAGCTTATCAAAAATAAACCCAACCTCCAGGTCTTCAGCAAGTAGAGAAGAATGTGTTGCCCTTTGAACCATTTCCTGAAGCTGCAATTGAGTCTTCTGAAGAGATGTCTGGCATTCGATCTGATTGGATTCAAGGATTTTTACCTTCTTCATGAGGGACCTAATTATTTCTGTTCTTTTCTGTAGTTCGCCTGAGGGAAATTCAATAACTTATTTGTGGTCAGATCTGGAGCTTAAAATGCATTATTTTCAAAATCGGTGCTTAAAAAAGTAAAAGTGTGCTAAAGACTTTTTTTTAAAGGAAAATTCTTGTGTGTGTGTGTGGGGGTGAAATGCACAGTACTGTATCTAGTCAAGAAATAAAACTGGCTGGGTGCGGTGGCTCACGCCTATGATCCTAGCACTCTGGGAGGCTGAGGCGGGCGGATCGTTTGAGCTCAGGAGTTCAAGCCCAGCCTGAGCAAGCATGAGACCTCGTCTCTATTAAAAGTAGAAAGAAATTAGATGGACAACTAAAAATATAGGCACTCTAGCCTGGGCAACAGATTGAGACTCTGTCTCTAAAAAAAACAAAACAAAAAAACTGATAGCAACCAGAAGCTCCTCGATGTCACTTCCTGAACACAATCCTATTTTCACCTTCCCAATGCCCACCCTGATGTTACAGGAATCATTTCCTAGCTTTTTATTGTAGTTTTACTACCCAAGACTGAATCCCCCCCAAAATAGAGCTTAATTTGAGGCCTGGAATTTGAGACCAGCCTGGGCAACATAGTGAGACCCTGTTTCTACAAAAAATTAGAAAAATGAGCCTGGTGTGTTGGTGCACACCTGTAGTCCCCAGCTACTCAGGAGGCTGAAGCAGGAGTTTGAGGTTGCAGTGAGCTATGATTATGCCACTGCACTCTAGCCTGGGCAACAGAGTGAGACTTTGTCTCTAAAAAAAAATTAAGTAAACAAAAATTCAAAATAAAAAAAGATCAAGTTCAATATCAGAACTTTAAAATTTTCAAGGCAGTTCAAAAGAAATGGCTGGTCATCCCATCCTTATTCATATTCTTGCTCAAAACTTCCTTCAAATCCACCCTTGATGCTCACTCCGTATGAACTGGGGCTCCCGCCCAGCACTCTTGCTATATTTGCCCTTCATTATTTGTGTGTGTGTGTTTTCGGCTATTCATAAAGTCCTCCTATTGGCAATGAGACTAAACTCCATGACGGCAGGGACTGTTTCCTTCATTTCTTCTCTACCTTCCTTCCCCCTGAACCCTTTCCACGTGTTAGCACATACAGAAGTGCATAACAGATGTTGCCAAATGTATTTCTGACCTTCTAATTTGCTGCAACGTTCTTCCAAAGTCAACACTTTCTGCCGATCCTCTTCCCATGAAAGAAGCTGTCTCTGGTGCACTGCGACCATATCATTGAGCTCTTTATCTCGGTCTTTCAATTCTCCAATGAGCAACTGCAGCTCCTTCCGTTGTTTCTCAATAGTGGAAATCTCAATGTCTGAACCGATGTTCTAAACACAGAAAGTGAGTTTACATCGGAACAAAACTAATCAATAACATAAATCAGCCAAGGTATATTTTCCAAATAATCATTCCTCCCTTCAGTGCCAATTCTTAAATTAAGTTTTATAGTTAATATTATTTACAAGTTTTATTATTAAAAACATGGTATCAAAATTATGTGTACTTAAGAACCAAGTTCAAGTTCAAACCTGCCAGGCACTCTGCCTCTCTATTATTTTCTGTCATGCCTCACACACCACACAGAAAAAGTGGGACTGTTTCTAAAACCACAAATAAGCCCATTTCTGCACTTTTTTCCCCTTTGCTGTCATTCCTTCCCTGGAATCTTCCAGGAGAATCCTTTCCTCCACCAATTAGTGATATTGGCCCAGCAACTGCGGAATAAACTCCCACCTTGCCCCAGCAACTGCGGAATAAACAAGTGAAGGTAAACATGAAGCGGTTACAGTTTAAATGTAAATACATTTTAGTCTACAAAAAGAGAATGAAGTTCCACAGTGTTAAATATTTATTATAACCACAACATCAGAGACATCCATAGACACTCAATCTACCAAGGACAATTTAATATTGTCGCTGGTCCAAACTCAACATACCTAATTAAAAATCAAGTTTTGGAAGGAAATTTTGCACACATACACAAAAGATAATAGTACAATAGACTCCCATATACTCAATACCTAGGTTCTATCATTATCAAGATTTTGTAACATCTGTTTCAATTTTCCTTTTTCTTTTTGTTATTGATAAAAGATTTCTTTTTTTTTTTTATCTTATTTTTTCTTCTTTCTTTTTTTTTTTTTTTTGAGACAGAGTCTTGCTTTGTTGCCTAAGCTAGAGTGACTGCCATGGCATCAGCCTAGCTCACAGCAACCTCAAACTCCTGGGCTCAAGCAATCCTACTGCCTCAGCCTCTCGAATAGTTGGGACTACAGGCATGCGCCACCATGCCCGGCTAATTTATTTATATATATATTATATATATTATATTATAGAATATAATCTATAATATATAATATATATGTTATATATATAATATATATACTTTTTTTTTAGTTGTCCAGCTAATTTGTTTCTATTTTTTTAGTAGAGATGGGGTCTCGCTCTTGCTCAGGCTGGTTTCGAACTCCTGACCTCAAGCAATGCACCCACCTCGGCCTCCCAGAGTGCTAGGATTACAGGTGTGAGCTACCGTGCCCAGCCTGTTATTGATAAAAGATTTCATTTCACCCTTACATACTTCAGTAAGCATCCCTAAAAATAAACACTTCTTATATAACCATAATGCTATGTTTACACCTAACAACATCATCTACAATAATCCCTTTTAAGCACATGTCGTTTTAAAGTCTAGTGCCCTGAATTTGGTCTGACCCAGGTGGCTATATAAATAACCTTTGGGCAAGTTACTTCTCTACTAAGCCTTGGTTTCCTCACCTGTCAGACAGTAACAACAGCACTTTAACTTCTTAGAGTCACGTAGATAAAGCAAGATAAACTCTGTAAAGTGCTTAAGCACAAAGCCTGGCACATAGCAAGCACTCAAGAAACATTAGCTACTGCTAAGACTATAAACCACGTTTCCAATTATGCTACCATCCCTATCTATGAAATAAAGAACTAAAGTTTTGCTTTAAGAGTTCCACCTTGGAGACAGTACTTGAAAGTTCTCCAGAGGTTCATGTACAGCATTACAGCTTTTAAAAAATGAGATTTCTAAATAAGAATGATGAATGAATTAGTTACTTACTAGTAACTAAACACAGAAAATGGAATTTGGAGTCAAGGGGTTCCAAGTCACAAGACTTAAATTCCAGTCCTTGGTTAGCCATTCATTCATTTATTCAACAAATATTTACTGAGCAGCAGTGGCTTGGGATTCAGTTATGAGCACACCAGGCAAGGAGCATATTTTCTACTACAGGAAAACAAGCAATAAGCCAAGAGTACAAAGAGTTCATCTTGTTACATACTGATAAGTGCAAATCCTGGGCAAGTTCACTTTCAAGACTTGTTGGTAAAACAGAGTTATAAGCGTGTCCCTCCACCCGCCAAGCTAAGTAAACTAAGGACATCAGACCAGGTGTACAGCAAAGCAGCTCTACAAATGCCAATCGTCATCCTTAAAAAGTGAGCACCTGGTACTCTTTAGCCTGGGCTGAATAACCAGTTTCTATCAGGTTAAGGAAACGGACGTGACGCCGTTTTTACCCTGTGTACTGCGTGCTGTTTTAAATTTTACGCAGAAACCGTTCTTTCCAGGCAACCTGGATTCTGGCCACCGTGCGCAGTCCTTCCAGACGCGCCGGGTGGGAGCAGTGGGCGGGCCCGGGGCGGCCGCTCACCTGGCGCACGGCGAGGTAGGTCGCCGAAGGGTTCATAGGTGTTTCTCCGCCCGGGAGAGTCGGTGCGGGCAGCGTCACCCGAGAAACGCCATAGGCGCGCCTGCCCGGAGAGGCGGGGGCGAGCCCGGAGCCCGGCGCCCCGCGCGCCCCCAAACCGCCTGCCCAGTGCGAAGGCGCCTCGCGACATTTGGCGACACTTGGCGACACTGCGCGCCAGCGCCGAGCCTTCGGGCTCCCGCCCGCTTCAGTCTGGGAATGCAAAGTCCATTACCCTCGCTAGAGGCTCCAGCGCCAGGGCTCTAAAGAGCCGGCTCTGCACCACCGCCCAGGGAATGCATAAGCGAATTAAAGGGTGTTGCTCCCCGTCACCCTTTTGCTCGCTTCTGTGCACAGCTGGCACCGAGAACAGGGCCCGACACGCAAAGGAGGCAGATGCCCAGCCCTTCTACTCACGTCGCTGGCATCCTAGCAGACCACTCTAAACCAACATACACAGGTGAGGGGGGGAATTATTTTGTTCGTGAATAGTGATGAGAATCGTGACACTTTGTCATGACAAAAGTTACCATATGTGGGGGTGAATCTAAGCTCTTTCACGTGTTATCCCATAGTAACCTCTTCCTGTCTTTTCACTCTTCACCAGAACTATGGAAAGATAATGCTTATCACACTTCACCCTGGTCGCCCCGCCCCTAATGCTTAACCCATTACACAGCACCACTGGAAAGACAAGTTACCAAGTACAGTCATATTTCAACTTTGTTGGTTGAATATAAATTAGCAAAACATGCCACTGCGTTCAAAAAGGACAATCTGAAGATGGAAAAACAATATTAAGATTTCTTGCTTAGAAGCTTTACTGACAGGCTCATGTTCAGAACGAGGCAATGTCTTAGAATTTATCAAGAAAGCAAATTCTGACTAGTTATTAAAGATAGCCCATCAGTTGATGACTATGCAGTAAGTCTTGGTGGAGTGAGAAAGATGAAAAGGAAGGTGGGTTGAATGTCATTTTCAAATTGAGGACCATTTTAATTCACGTGCTTCTCAAGATTTCACCACTGTTTAAGATTTGGTATTTTTCCAGGAAGCCCTAAAGTGCCATTGTTCACCAGGCAACCACATGCCTTTAAAAGGACATGTATAGGGCGACTTCCGGGGCCCCCGCTCTTGGGGCCCCAGAACCTCGTCCACGAGTGTATAATAAAGCCACGTGGTTTGGCCCCCCCTAAAAAAAAAAAAAAAAAAAGGACATGTATAAAGAGAGTAAGAACCGAGGCTAATCTTCTATCATTTGTAAATAGTTATTGAACGTCGTAAGAGGATTACAATAACCAGGTGCCAATCAAAAATCCCAATATTTTCTATTCACTCCCCCTACAGGTTTTCTTTAAAACAAAAAATCTTTAAAGAGAAGGTATAACTTTTAAAAATGACATAAATGAAAGCTACAAGAATTATACTGCATCTGATTTTATACTCACACATGAGCTAATCCAAACTAAAGTCCTGAATGGATTTATTCCAGTCTCCTTACTTGATTTCCTCAGTAAGGGAATTTAGTAAATAATGAAGACAGGACCTAAAAGGTAGAATTCATTCTTAAAATAGTGATTTAACACATTTAAAGAGAAAGCCACCACAGATTATATATTAAGCAACAGCTGACTTACTGAGGCTTTTAACTAAAAGGGAGTTTAAAATCACATATTGTCAGCATCTATTTTTTTAAAATGAATGAAACATTCAAAACTGTATTTGCATTTGATGTTGTAAGCTTAATCATGAAAAATCTCTTACACATAATATAAGGCTGCTTAAAGGTTCACATTCTTTTTGCTAAAAATGCTATACTGTTAGAATGTATAAAGTCAATCCTTGAACTGTTAGTATATTTTAATCAAAGATTATAAACCATGTTGCATTTTAAATTTCAGGTCAAAGAAAAAGATTCACACAAATGTTATCACAAGGACAATTTTAATCCTGCATTTTCCTGCAGTAACATCCATTGCCAGCTATCTATGGATTGAAACTGCATTCTAAGAACTGTGAACATTAAGAAACGTTACATGAAGTCACATGTGTTGATACAGGCATCTTCCAGCACCAATGGAATACATACATTAACACAAACCAAATGGTCTTGATGGATAAATGTGTTTTACCAGATAATCCTATTTAGAATTCACAGTTAATGCAGAATTTTTAAATTTTATATCTTTATTACACATTTTTCTAAGACTTCATTTAAAAAGACATTCTTCAAGATTGTAATTTGCATGGCAATAAACAATAGTTTCATACATTCTAAGTTTTTTAAAGGTGTCTATAGTAATTTAAAATACCGCAAGTCTTCTTTTCAATTTGCAGCACCTGACAAAGTTTAGATTCATTTAATGCATCCACTAAATTTGTCAGTTTCTCTTGTGAGAAAGACATGTTTCAATTGTTACTTTCCAGACCATATAGTGAGCATGGGTTTATATTATTTTTAATTGGTTAGCAGAATTTTACTCACATTACTTATAGCTAGAACAAGAACTCCCAGCCTCTCTGAATGGCCTTCCACTCAGAATAATAATGACTATCTAAAATGGATTTGGGTCTGGCCCCATTTAACATTACCAAACATGTTTCCATTACCAAACATATTCTTAGAAAATATGAATTTTAAACATATACATAATATTCTATCATAACATGATGCACCATCACCTCTTTAACCATTTCCCAATTGTTATTTATATCATTTGCAATTTTTGATATTAAAAATAACATTGTGATGGACACCTTCACCCATTAAGTTTAAGCAAGACTGACTATTTCTTTAGGATAATGTCAAAGAAGTGGCTTACTGGGTCATACAGTGCACATGGTTTTAAGGCTTTTAATATACTTTACCAAAGAATCTCCAGAACAGCTTGAACAACTCCTACCAAGAGTATGTAATTATGCCCACAAAGTGGACTTGGTAACAAGGAAGCAAATTCAATCATAAATCTGTTAGAGTCTCACCCAGCTCAAAACTATCACACCAAAGAAGCAAGGAGACATATTATTGGTGAGGAAGCCAAATTTTCAAAAAATCACTCAGCTTTAATCAGTAAAATAATCAACAGAAATGCTTCCCACAAAAACTCTACAGGGTTTTTCCAAAAATAAAAAGTTAAAAAGAGAAAGATAAAAGTCAGTACCAAATGACCAAAATTTTTTATTTGACTAAATTCTAACTCATGCATAAGCATGACAGTCTCCCCTGTTTATTAGACTTTGGCAATAAAAAAACAAGCAGCCTCGTACAGAACAGTGAAAACGCCAAGGATGAGGGTGCTCTACAGTTTTACTGTAGGATAAATATATATATATATATTTAAAAGGCCTCTCCCCCTTTGGCCATATCAACTTTCAGTTCAGGTCATTAAATACAAATTTTCAAAATCACTTCTTTACTTCTCCAAGATCTTCGATACTGTCATCATCTACCTATAAAACACAAATAATTACATTTTATGAGTTGTGGTGGCAAATAAGAAAAAAATGGAATAATTTGCCTTAAAAAAACCTATTTCTATATATACATGTGTTCTGTGTACTTACCTCTGGCCATTTTTCCTGAATGACATCAATTATGTCATCTGTAAAGTCTCCCTGAATGATAATTTCATCCTCCCCTGTTACTGAGGCACCACAGGAGAATTTTTGAGCAAAAAATCTTTGTGCTTCTTTAAGATCAATTTCTGTTTTTTTAAAAAAAGAAAGAGCAAGACTATAATTGGAAATGTGCATCAAAGATAAATTTCCATTTTGAAATTTAATCTGCATTTTAAATTCATAAAACAGATTGTGTTAAGGGGTTTCGTATTCCTTTCAGAATAATTACAAATCATCATAGGCAGAGATCTTAACAAGTCTTAATATTTACAAGGAGGTCCATTAATTGTTTTTCAATCTGTGCTGTTATATGAGGGAACCATGGTTTAATTTTCACCCAAGTTTTACTATTCATTCACGGTCAACAGGAACTAAAGGGGCTCTAAAAGCAAGACATTCTGCTGCTACCCACCTTCCCTTACCCTCCACTGTCATTCCCAGAGGGAAGAAACCATTTTGCAACCCTTTGCCACCACCATGCCTGCAGAGGAGAGAGGAGCAGCACTGGATGGCTTCAAAGGGAATCCTTTCTAGCCTTCCTCATCCTACATAAAATGTGCCCAAGCACGAATTCTGGGAAGGAAAAAATAATACCAGTTCCTTCTACAAAAGATTTTCAATTTCTCCAAAGTTTGATTTTGAGGCTATAGTTAGAAATGCAAAACCTCATTTTGTATCACAGCAAAAAACCTGTGAAGTTTTCATGATACCAGAGAGAGAGAGAAAGAGAATATAGTGCATACATGTTAAATATATTTAAGCCTGAACTCACCAAAAGTTGCAAGGCCACATACTCTTGTTACGTATTTCTTCTTTGCCCTGGGAATTTTGGCTATGGTAACCTTCTGTGGAACAGTCTTCTTTTTTTGTTTTATTTGACCCCTTCCACCTTTATTTATTAAAAAAGAGCTTTCCATTAATTGTTTTGTTTTTTGATATAATTATAGAACACTAAGTCTTTTTTTTAAAATTTATTTTATTTTACTTTTTTTGTGAGACAGAGTCTCACTCTGTAGCCTGGGTTAGAGTGCCATGGCATCAGCTCACAGCAACCTCAAACTCCTGGGGTCACGTGATCCTCCTGCCTTAGCCTCCAGAGTAGCTGGTACTACAGGCATATGCCACTGTGCCCGGCTAATTTTTTCTATTTTTAGGTGTTTGGCTAGTTTTATTTCTATTTATAGTAGAGACAGGGTCTCACTCTTGCTCAGGCTGGTCTTGAACTCCTGAGCTCAAGCAATCCTCCTGTCTCGGCCTCCCAGAGTGCTAGGATTACAGGTGTGAGCCACCACGCAGGCTAAGTCTTTTAAATTTGTTAATTTTCAAAAGGTCTAAGTTTCTCTAATATAAGATTAATAAATACATGCATGTATTCACTTAATAAATATTTATTAAGTACCTATTATGTGCCCAACACTAGGCTAAGGGCTGAGGACACAAAGATGGACAAAACATAGTCCCTGCCCTCCAGGGACTCACAGTCTAGTGAAGGGAGTAAAAAAAAAAAGAGCTAAAT